CACTAAAATGTCACCAGGTTTGGAATGAATGTGTGATGGTTCGTGCATGCAGTTTGCATTATGCTAACCTAGTGACTATAAGCTTTCGGTACTTAGATACATTATCCTTGTAGCTCCTAAGCAATCCATGGACACCAAACATGCCTTGACTGAGCGACTACATTCAGGATAAGGAGAAAATTGAGTAAATTAGGATTTTTGGCCATCGCTTTAACCCTGCAGGCAGCCAGAAACAGGAGCAGACACTGCGCTCTCCTCTGATCCTCACTTCATTGATGCTTCATGACCTCGTCCTGCATTTGAAGTCGATCGCCCACGGAGAGCTGCTGAACCGGAGCTTTGGAATGCTCTCACCGCAGCCATGCTCTCCATCTGAGAGCCCGCAGCGCTCACCCGTAGCCCAGTGTTCCGGGGTGGGACGAGGTTACAAATTGAGCAGCAGGCCCTGGATGGGCCTTGTCAGCTCTGGTTGCATGCCGTTGGCACTAACCATGACATGGAGACCTCAGGAACGCACTGGCCTGGCTGGGGCACGCGCTGTGGCTCATATCAGCCTAATGAAGGTGGACAGGGGCAATTCTACCTCGCAGTCAGAGAGAACTGCCCCCCTTCTTGTCCCCTCTTATTCACCCCAGCACTATCTCCCTGCATGCCCAGAGACAATGGCCTTGAGGCATTCCAAAGCCACAGAAAGTGCTACGTCACTGGCGGAAAAACAGCCTAATGAGAGGCTGAGCATGCAAAATAAGGCAGCCATGACGCATCCTGACTGGGGCTGCACAAATCAGCATCCAGAACACAGCTGTGCTCAGAAGCAGAGCAGAGTTCATCAAGTTTCACTACGAAGTCTCGGCGAGGAAAGATTCAGGAAGTCTGTCAATGCAGGAACATGTACAGTTCCAATTCCAATAGAGTTTTTCATCTTAAAGAGATTTGATTTAAAATATTATTATGTTGGAACTTCAAGCCTATTAGAAAGCATCCCAGGTGGTTTCTAATGAAGGTGCTTGAGAGAATGCTGAGCTGTCATCAAGACAAAGAGGAATCTAAGGAATCTAAAATATAAGAGATTGAATTCTACATTTGACTTGTCAACTAATCGTCTCCTTATGATGTTATGAGGTTTTATGTAACAAAACATTTTCTAACTCATAATCTGATGTATGTAAATGAGCTCTGATAATAATAGCAATACCTCTATTATTTCAAAATGTGGTATAAAAGGCTTTCTTTGAGTAGGTGTGACTTTTGACTGGTCCCTTATATGTCCTGGTCATTGATAAACTATGCTGGATATCACTGACAAGTGCAAATTAGAAGCCACTATAATACCATAACTGCATGCCATTGGTTGTAGTAACCTTGGAAGAATCTCATCTTAGTACACATTAGGCTATTATACTGCACAGTGGCGAGAATCCTGGATGAAATGTTATTTTTACATGCTGTGACACGCCCGACAGAGCGATCGATTGGACCCTAGCCGGTGGCAGAAGTTAAGAGAGGGAGAGAGAGATACGGTCTGGATCAATAATAAGCTATCTGGTGGGCAGGGCCTGAGAGCCTGGCTCAAAGCAGCTCGCCTCTGCTGCCTCCTATTACACAGGAACATACTACTGTCACTACTGCCAGTTCACTAGATGCTGGGTGAAATAAAGGAGGTTGAGGCATTCTTACTGTCAGAATGCACCATGATCGATCACCTTTAAATCCACCTTTGGCATCTTTCGAATGATGAACTTCAAGAAGGAAAATTGCTGCAGAGTACTTGTGCATGGGCCCTTACAGTTATACAGAACTTCTACTGCCCAGGTGTGCCATCTTGCCCAAGCTTAGTTTGTCTAAGTCATCAGAGAAACAGAGCGTAGCTCACTCATTTTTCAAAATTACCATCCTTACACAGCGTTGACAAACGAGCTGTTGAAGTGTAGCAGAGCATTAAACAGAGGTAGGATCAGTAGACTGTGATGACTGCCAGTAAACCTCTGTTATTTACTCTGAGGCATCTACAGCTATGAATGTAGTTTTACAGAACACTCAATTCACATTTTATATATATATATATATATATATATATGTATGTTAATTATGTTTTTATTCACATTCTGTATTCTTTCTATTTGTTTCTAGTCCATAATTCAGTCTATGTGGCCAATGGAAACTAAGCTGTTCAGTCTATACAGCTAATGGAAACTAATGCAGCCTGTTCTGAACTCACTGTTTTTGTGATGTCATAAAAACAATGCATTTACATTCAGTATATCCACCAATTCAGCCTACAGCAATTTAGTTCTACCCACTTATGGTGAGGTTATAAGGAGTTTTTCAGCCTTTGCTTTTGGGATGAAGCACAATAAAGGCAACCAATCAGAACACACCTCATTTACATAGACTTCTATGTCTATGCTTATTATAATGTGATGTCTATTCATTGCATTATGAAAAGCACAGAAACAAAAACAGCCTGTTTAAGGGAGAGGTGATGAAGTTGGAAAATAGTCATGTACAATAAACTATGAGTGTCTTGGTACATAAACCCATAAACATCATCATAAGTGGACCTCGGAGAAAACAAAATTAAATGCAAACAAATGTATGAGACGAGTTGAACTAAATGTAAGAAAAGGCATGGAGCACCCAGGAGGATTAATGAATGCCAGCAGTAAGAAACTGCAGCAAAGATTACTTAAAAACAGACTAATGAACATTAGAACTTCAGTGGAGCTCAACCAGATCTCTAAATCATTGGGAACAATTCCAAGTGCTTAAAAAAGGGCCCACAGGTAGCTATAAAAGCCTAGCTGACATTAAGAGCTTATTTGTGGGGCTCCACTGAGCAGAGCAGTCACAGTGGATGAGGCACAGACGCCCAAACTGCAGTGCATGCATGAGAACTGAGAGAGAAAGAAAGAGAGAGAGAGAGAGAGAGGGAGAGAGAGAGAGAAGAAAGACGCATGATGAGGGCCAGAAGGAGGTCATGTAAACCCTGGCTTTAGGGATTAGGCTTTTCTGGGACTGAGGGCAAAAGGTAGCAGTCACATGTGTTTGGCCTGAAGCTGTTCTCTAAAGGAGTCTATATGTGTGTGGTAGGGTCTGCTTTGTACGAGCCAACATCTTTAGGGCAGATTAATGAGTCTGTTTGTGTTTCATGTAATGAAATACTTTAAAATGGAATGTGAATGTTTAGTTTCTGCATGAGTATGTCATCATTGCTGACTGTATATGTGTATGAATGGTGTGGGTCTGCATGCAGTACATACACTACTGTTTAATAGTTAAGAATCACTTTGTTATTATGGCATTTTATATACACTAATGACTTACACAGTAGGGATGCACATTGATATTAGAACCATAAAAACTGTTATAAAAATTGTGCCTGCATGCATTTAATGCTGTTTTTATTGTACTCCAAATAAGCAGACCTTTAGGCAAAGCTGGGCTATTGTGCAAATATGTAAAAAAAAATGTATTTCGCTGCTGTCGGAATAAAACCTTGTATCTCCAAAATTATAACTTTACAGGACAATGAAGGAAACATACTTCACTTTTAATGTATGTTAATGGAACCAGACTTTTTTCAATTCATTTTGGGCTATTTCTTTGGTCCATACATTATAAAATACATCATGAAACATATATATATATATATATATATATATATATATATATATATATATATATATATATATATACTCAGTAAAAATGTGTATTATGGATGAGTCAATCTATTTATGAAAATAATGGACGTTGTTGTTTTTTGGTCCAAAGAAGAGAAGGACCATCCAGATTATTACCAGCATAAAGTTCAAAAGCCAGGGTCTGTCATATAATGAAGATGTATTAGTACCCGCAGCAAGGGCAACTCGCTCATCTGTGCAGGCATGAACACTGAATGATATACATATATGTGCTGCCTTCCAGATGATGATTTTCCAGCGATGGTTAACAATACAGAAAACGTGGAGAGGCCTCTTTCAGTTATTATGCTTCTAAACTGTGGAACTCAATTCCACCTTTTATCAGACAGTCAAGCTCAGTGCACACTTTGCATTTAATTAAAACTCTACCGCTCTTTAGTATTTATCCCTTTAATTTGATCTGTGTCACTGTCTTATATGATTTTTAAATGAATACTCATAGTTTCTTCTTTTACTATCAGGCTTTATCACCTGTCTGTAAAACACTTTGAGCTGCCACTGGCATGAAAAGTGCTCTATAAATAAAGATACTATTAACATGACAACAGCAAGGCACATTCTGCTGCGTAATCAGAGAGTGTGGGTGCTAGACGGCAGTCCAGACCTGTTCCCATTGAAAATGTGTGGTGCATTATGAAGCCCAAATACAACAACAAAGTGTAGTTGCAGAGCTAAAGACTAGTGTAACAGAAGAATGGCAAAAAATTATGCCTTCAAAACTGGATCCTAATCTAATTCAGTCCCCAAATGATTAGCACAGTTGAAAGAAAGTGATATTAAAGTGCTTTTAAAAGATAGGGTGATCCTCCTGTCGCAACTTTGTAATTGTCCCAAATTTGTAATGAGTGTCTATTTACAGAAAGAGAAACAACAAACAAACAAAAAAAAGTTCAGAAAGTAAAACATTAAATATTGTGCTTGTTTGTTTTCTATACAGGTTAAACAGCATTTACTAATCAATGCGTTCTCTTTTTATTAGCATCTCATAAACTGTCCCACCTTTTTTTGAGGTTTGTTTAATTATGTTATCTGTGTGATTTGATCACTACTTCCAAAATATGAGCCATTTCTGGATATTGATTTTATCTTAACTTAATTCTTGATGTTATACAGCTTTTAAATTCATAGCTTTCTACTAATTACCTGACACTTGTGATGTTACACACAACTTCGAATCATTTTATGCATTTATCAGCTAACAAATTGCTTTTATATCATTAAAAAAGTTCATTCCGAACCACAGAAGAATAAATCCAAAGTTTTGAATGCCACTGTCTGTGTGTTTGTGTGTATTCTTACCTGTACACGGTGGTTGGAGGGTACTTGGCAATATCGTACATCAGCCGAATGTGGCCTTGATAGAGCTCAAGAGCCAGAGGGTCGTGATCCTCTTTATACAGCAGCATGCCATTGTCCTTATCAGTAGCTACCTATATATACAGACAGAGAGAGCACAGTAAGTTTCCAATTGACATCCACACTGAACTGGAGAAGGACTGCAGGGCTTAGCTCTTAAAGCTCAGTCAATCATATCAAACAGGACACCTGCAAACAACCTGAGGCTGCCACTAGTGCTCCAATCACACATGGGGAGAGTGAGAGAGAGAGAGAAGCAGAAAGAAAGAAAGAAAGAAAGAGAGAAGTGAGTCAAACAGGGTTTATGAAGTGTGGAAGCCCCACTCTGCTTCAAATGAGCCCCAGCAGAGCCCTTTCACTCTCGCCCAGTAGCCTGGAGCCATATGAGCAGCTAGCGTGACCACATGCCAGACAAGTGCTAGTGCTGAATTTCAACTCAAGACATGTTTCACAAGAAAATAAACCTACTACATGACCGAAGCCTCGAAAAGCATCATTTGGTCACTTTGCTACATGACTGTAAAGCTCAAGCCATGAACTCCCTTTTTCCCATTTGTTTACAAACACAATTTGATTCTCAAGTTATTGGTCTCCTTTAAAATCGTGTTTGGAGAACAGGAACCCCTAGGAATCACCCTTATTGACCCGGGATAAGAAAAGCTTGCTGTACTTTTATACTATTTACTTATCGCTCATAGCTCATTGAAACAAGAGAGGAAATTCTGTTGAAAGCGCAGAATCAAAACTTTCAATCAATACAGGATTTGTGTTTGTAAGCAGAAGAGAAGATATTTTATTATGATTTGAATGTGATGAAAAGTTATTGTTGTGTGTACAGTCTTGTTTTGTCATTTCTTTTCATCAAAACAACAGAAATAGCTGGAAGTGAGGACTCAAATCTTTCAATACAGAATGTAAATCAATTGTAAATTTTTTGGTAAATATGTAAAGGAACATGCGCTTACATTCAAATAGTACATTAAAATGAAAACAGCTCTTGACTTCTAATGGTTAAATAACGATTTCTTATTTTCTAGTCTGTGAAATATTCATTTGTTAATGTGTATTTGTTCTTATACTTCTGTGCAATCTACCCATCTGACCTGGGTGTCCCAAAAGCACCTTAGCACAAAGACTATTCTTAAATGGTAGCACAAGTCTGACACTGAACACTCTCTCTTCTATTTAAGGTGATTTCAATTATTAAGATGCTTTTGGGAAACTGGGCCTCACCTGCCTGACTTTCTATCTATCTACCTACAGTACTATGCAAAAGCCAGGGACCGCCATTCATTTACCTAATTTCCAGTCAAAACAGCCATTAAGTACAATTTTTTCAGGAATTATTTCTGAGGTCATTAGTTATATGATAATACACTTGCATAAGGAAGGGAAACGTCAAAGAAAAAAACAGAAAAAAGGAAAAAACAGCTCTGCTCAGAACTCAAAATCAACTGGTTATTCTTTTCATCCTTGCACTGTAAGAAGCCAACTCAGAGCTATGGGTGTGAAAGGATGTGTAGCTGTCAAGAAGCCCTTACTAAGAAAAGGAAATAGACAAAAAGGAAGAAAATTTTCATAATTGAACAAAGGACCTGCTGGTGTTCTCAGAACAATGGCTTGACCACCCCAGAGTCCAGATCTCAATATCACTGAATGTGTTTGGGATTACATGGATCACACACGTCAGGATCCAGTCCTCACAGACTTCAGCACACTGCCTCATTAAACACACCTGATTCAGCTCATCAGCTTATTAGCAAGGCCTTCATGAACTGAATTCAGAGCGTCAAATAAGGGTAAACGCTAATCTAAGCAGTACTTTGGCCTGGAAACTTCCCAAATTGATGTGTGATTTGGATCATGAGCAGCAGAAAATGCAACCAAGACTGAACTGTGGAGGTGTGGAAAAATATTCAGATTTCATTAAGAAACTGAAAGTGTTTCGAAAACATTTGAGGCTGTAATAAAGAGTAAACACACTAAATACAGAAAAAAAATTAGTTGTTGAAGTTTCTGTGTAATTTTCTGTTAAATATGTCCTTTTTCCTTCTTTTCCAGATGCTGAAAAATGAATAACTGGAAATTAAGTAAATAAAGGGTGGTCTCTGACTTTTGCACAGCAATGTACCTACCTACTTTATCCAGAATGCTCTGTATTTCGGGTCATGCCTGTGTCTCCCTGAGCCTGTCTGCATAATTTTACTGTCAACCATCAACGTGTCAAAACCAAATAAAATATAATTAAAAAGCAGCATTTACAAATTAAGAGTCTTTCCAGACGCATCTGTTTTCTGTAGCCTCCTGATTTACTATGTTCCCCGTCTGATGCTGCCAGCTCTCCTATAAATCTGAAAGTCATTGGCTCTCACCTCTGCAGAGAGATAAAGAATACAGGGGCTATTTTTAGCTCCTCCTCCTTTAATTAACATTAGGCTGCCCCGTCAGAGAGCGGCTCATTTGTAGCAGAGATGCGAACCGGCCGTGACGCAGGCGCTCCTGATTGCGGCCGATAACAGACCTGGCTCAACTTTCATTACCATAATATATGTCCTTCGGCGAGGCATTATTCATGCAAGTGGACAAAGGGTGACATTCTAATAATGTCAGCAGGGCTGGATTGAGAGCTGTGGCCGATGAAAGGCCGGGAACAGATGTTAGGAAGGCAGATCGCTTTCTGTGGCTACGCTAGGTGAGATCTGAGCAGTGTTTATGGAGAGGGCTGGGGATGTCTTGCTCAGCAAGGCCCACCGGAAAGCAGAGCTGACAGAGAAGACTGCCCACATCAGTGTGTTTATAGGGGATACGGAGGAGGAGGATGTTGTGGATTGTTCTCACAGGGGGATGTTTGACGTTATCTGTCTGCAGAACAATTCAGTAAGCTGAGAGTTTGAGACATATGCTGGTGACTGACCTTAATCTGCTGATGTATTCGGTCTACAGCCGTGTCTCCTATTCCCAGCCCTGGAGTACCTCTGCACTCCACAGTTAAACACTCAGTATAACTTGTCTGCTAATTACAGAGCCTTGAGTTGAATCAGGGCAGGGGAGAGACTAAAGGACTCACAAAAGGCTCACAAATTCCTTGATGAATTAGGTTATAAGTTCACATAAAGGAGTTCACATTGCAGGTTTAAAGTGAAAATCTGAAAAGTGAAACTGATCTGATTTGAGCTGTGTAAACACAAAAATCTGATTTGAACAAAAAGGCCTGTAATGTGAATATAATCTTAGATCTAAGGCTGTGTTCACATTACCAGACTGAAGTGGCACAAATCCAGCGTTTTGCCTTAATGTGACACAGATCTGATGTTTTAAGAGCTGTGCGGACATGCAAATCTGATCTTTTCAAATCAGATCTGAGCCACTTTCATATGTGGTTCTAGATCGGATACATATCTGATTTGCAGCTATGCTACCTTAATGAGAATGCTCAGTCCTATTTTAACTGCACTTGGGCTGTCTTTCACTGTTATCGTGGCTGCAGTGCTGAGCTTGAAGTTAGCACCAGCAAACAGTGCAAAAGCATCTGACCCCTTTTCACCTTTGTCTCACACTAGTAATGAAGAGCTGAGAGCTTTTCAGAGCTAATTATCTTCACAATGAGGGCTTGTTCTGCTACATTGTTTGTTGTTTATGATATGTGGTTCATTTGCATGATATTATTGATTAGCATGTGGGTATGCGGTCACCTCAGGACTTGTGTTAGAGCCATCATGTTAGAAAGATCATATCAGGAAAAAATTTGTAATTAAACAATGAGGCTTCTAATGTGAACATAGCCGAAAAGGCAATCTCAAGCCATGTCAGAACTGCTCAGAGATGTGTTGATAATACTGCAGGGTGTGAGGAGGTGATGTCATACCTGGAGGGATATATGAGTGGAAGGCAGGATCTTTGTCCCGCGGAGCTCTGTGAATGCGTCTTTGCCCAGGAAGTGCGCAGTGAGCATTTTCTGGCACTTGTTGCCGAAGAAGCCAGGCAGACAGCGACACCAAGGCTCACCCTCCACCATCACACACTGCGCACCGTTCTGACAGTCTGACTGATCACATGGGCTAGTCTTCTGCAGCAGGATCATAGGAGGAGGGTTCTCGCAGAACAGGCCACTGACAGAGAGAGAGAGAGAGAAGCATACGTATTCAGTGCCAGTTACAACAAAAGAAGGATATTTCTCACTCACAGGCAGTGGTGTAGTGGTATACGGATAGGTAGGTATACTGTGCCTTTTAAGGGACCCCCACCCCAACATACGTGTATTAATCAACGTAATGTGAACACACACACTATTTCCCCTTAATACTCTATAATTGCAGGGTCAAAATCTGGGCTTAAAGACTTTTTAAGATGTGTGAAGAAAGGAAGACAATATAAGCTTAATTCAATTAAGCCACTATAAGGCAAATTAATGCTATTAAAATAACAATAGCGGTTAAAGAATGAGAGATTAAAATAATATAATGGATACAATTGAGTTGCCAAAAAGCCCACCATCTCACGCAATGAGAAAAAACATTGTTATACTATACATGGACCATTCTACTGAATAAGTTCAAACTGCGGTCCCACAGCAAAGAAAAATATGTAAAGAAAACAACTAATTGTATGTTTTTAAAAGATCCTCTTTGATTTTGAAGTTGAAAGATTCAGATGTATAATAGGATAAATAAAGGAACTATTAAAAAAATGCTGTCCCATGTTTTAATGTCACTACCGAAACACAGAGTTGTAGTCTGTAGGCGGGGCCTTGTTTTAGCCACACCCCTGTATTTCAGAGCAGGAAGTGAGACTGTATCACTGTCCCTCATGGCCACATGGTGAGCAGTCAGATCCCACTGTTTTGAAGTAAATGTGTCTGAAAATCAGTGTGTAACATCAGGAACTGTCACTACTGAAACACATTTTCTGCAGTTAAGTAAATGTAATGAGAAATATAATGACTTTCTGTGTGTACAACTGTTCAAAGCTGTGTTTGCTAGTCACAAACTGCCCAGCGTTTTTGAGCTATGATCAAAATTTTAGTAGTGTTATGATTGTTTTGTTAGTGACAAAATGGACTGTTCAATCATTTATTTTAAGAAAATAAGCATAACTAAGGTATAAAGTCACTCAAAGCAAAAAGATTTTAGTCTAAAGACCAAGTCAGTTAAAAGTCCAACATGGCTTTTGAATTCTGACTTTAAACCAGTTCAATAGAATGATACATATATAACTTATTACACTTTTGTTTTCCTTTAATATTGTATTTTTTGAAATATTTTACTAACAATATAGTCTAATATTAAAAATATTTAAAACCTACCTAGCCCCTTTAATTACATATTGTTTTGTCTTTTTGGCCATTGGCCCACCACAAACATTGCACTTTGGCCTCCTAAGACATAAAGTGTGGGTACCCCTGCTGTAGAGCATAGAAAAAGAATGACAACAGAAAGCACTGCAGCACTGTGTATACAACTCACAATCACATTTATGACTGTAAGTAGAAGAGGAGATATTTTATTATAGCTCTAATTTGATGAGGTTACTGTTGTGCATACAGTCTTACAGTGGAATATTAATTGTAAATTCCTCTGTTCATATTGCTCTTATTGTGTTATTGTCGTTCAGAGGAGGATGGGTTCCTCTTTTGAGTCTTGGTTCCTATCAAGGTTTCTTCCTCTTGCTGTTAGGAAGTTTTGCCTCGCTATTGTCGCCCTTGACTTGCTCACTGCGGCTTGGATATGGATTTTTTGTAATGCTGCTTCATGATGTCTGTTATAAAAAGCGCTATATAAACTTTGCCTTGACTTTGCTTGACTTTATTTATATTGCCATATTTTTGTCATTTTTAACAGTGAATCAAATGGAAAGTTGGAAAGTACAGACTCGAACCTGCCGACACGACATGTATATCGAACCTCTATCTAAGTACGTAATTATTTATGTAATTATGTAGTTATTTTTAAATAGTACAGCAAAATTACAGTGATAACTCCAGACTTCAAAGGGTTAAAGGAAGCTGTTGATCAGATTGCTAAACGAGCCTTTTTTTTTCTGAGTGGCTGAACATCAAAGCCACATTGTTGCCGGCCTCTGATTCAGATCTCTCCCTCCTCGCTCTAATTTCTCTCAAAGATTAACACGGCTTTTTTATGTTGTTGCGAAGATGAAAATGGTGTTACGCTGATAGAGTGCCAGGGTGGGTGGGACACCAAATTAACGCAGAGCTCAAGCCACTAACACTTAATTAGCAGCCGCGGCTGGGTGAGGAGCTGAGCGCAGCAGAGAGAGCTATTGTTCATCTGGCTGCTGCAGCACCCACAGGAGATCAGGCCTCTCTGAAACTGATGTGTTGTGCCGTCCTGCTGCTCGCTGGCACCGATTGCGGCAAACACACATATGCACGTGTACACACACACATAAACACGCTCACTCACTCACTCGGATCCACAGGGCAGTCCCACACTTATAGCATTATAATTAGCCACATGGAGATTCATCTGCTATTTGCCTCAGTAGAGACAGCGCAGTGCCGTATAATAAAGCACCATCTGTAGCTCAGCAACCTGGAGTCTGTGTTTGCCTCTGTGTGTGTAGAACTGTGATTGAGCTAACCCAGTGAACAGAGTAATGCTCATATTCTATGGGCAAACATTTTGTAAACTATCAAAATTATCTGTGCAGGTGTATCTGCCCACAACGCATCTTGTATCTCTGAGGTGGTAACTGTAAATGGTACCGACATCCAGTGAGACCAACAGTGGCTGTATGTTCTAACCAATGACTGTATATATCGTATATATTGAATATCATTGTCTGAATAAAAACATGTATGTCTATTTTTGTTTTTCGAAATACTTTGAACACAGCAGCACTACTTTATATAGTGTGAAATTTTTATGATGGATGGACCAATAGAAAAGCTCCAAAATAATTTGAAATAAAACCTATTTCCATTAACTTGTATTAAAAGTTATAAACATTTTTGCCTTCTCCTATGAAGATAATATTTTGGCGATACATGTTTTTCTGTGGACAGTGACGATATACAGCGAGTGATTTTTTCACAAGTTCTTTATACAGCTCTTGTTACAGTGGAGGCTCTGAAGAGAAACTGTAGTTTTCCACTTTGCTGTTGCTTTTGTTAGTTTGCTGCTCACTGACTTATCCACACTGATGAATCGCTGGCAAACACTACACAAGCATAATCTGCCAAAGGTGTTGAAAATGTTGCCTCAAAAGCCATTTAAAAGCTGTATTTCAATGAGATGGCTACAACTGCAGACTTTATCACAGCATTATACAGAATGCAAGCAGCTGGGCTTTAGCTTGCACTACTACATATGATGCAATGATTCAAACTTGGAAGCTCTGCATTAAAGAGTTTTAAAAACTTGTGCTGGTAATAATAAAGTTAACATGTTATTAATGAGCTAACTTTGACAACCCTATTAATGTTCATGCACCATTTTCACATGGTGTAAAAAACGTACTTATGAGGTTTTGATATGATAGAGATGATATGTGAGGATGTAAGTGTCTCACCTAAAGCCATCCTTGCACACACAGGTATAACCGTTGATGGCATCCACACATTCTGCCCCGTGCTGGCACTTGTTCTCCAGACAGTCGTTGTAGTCCTGCTCACAGTGCTGTCCCACATATCCCGGCAAACACTCACACCTACGACACGCACACAGTGAACATACACAGCTTTAAAGTGCTCAGTCAAAGAATGATATTTATGAGCTAAATGATTAGGAAGTAGGATTCATTTTGCTTTAGGAGGTGTAATGTAGGTGTGATGTCATTTTGCCACAGGGTGTCTGTAATGTTTATGACTGGTTCACACAGATGGGAGCAGCTACTCGATTTAACCACTGCAATCACATTTAGCTGCTTACAGACAGAAAACATGTTCAAATGTTTCATTTAATTTAAATTTAAAACTACCTGGTTGACTAATGAGAATACAATGTATTATTAGCGTTGTCTTTAGGATGGGGATTTACAGTCATCACTCAACATTGCCACATAAAATCAAACGTCATAGTGCATCCTACGATAAAGATAACATGGAAATTCTTTTATATAGTGATAGAAAACACAGTATCAAATTCAATTCCACTTGCTGTACTGTTTTACTATCATAGTGTGGACATGAAGCTCAGCTACTCTAAGGGCAGATTTTTATGAGTTAAAGGGGACAAAGCCAAAGCCTCGGAATGTGAAATCACTGAAGACATGTTAGGTATGTTAGGGTTACCACAACTGTTAATGTAACAAAAAAACTTGAACTTGCTTTTCAAATTTTATATTGGTCCAATAATCATTATAAAACTGTCCAAAAAGTGTAAATGGCAGGTGGCATATGAAATGGATAAAATGGAGTTAAGAGAGATCTTATGCCACTGACAGTATGTATACACTGTATGTAAGGGAGAGCTTGCGCTTGCCTCTTTTTTGAACTCTGATCTTTCACCGAGAGGTCACATGTGATGGGTCTCTTTGGAGCAAACACACTCACCTATAGCCCTTGATGAGAGGCACACACTTTGAGTCATGCTGGCAGGGGTCAAAGCCAGGCAGGCAGGGTTCCACCACTTCCTCACACAGGTCCCCTAAAACACACAAAAAAATTTACTGTAAGACATCTGCTTTACATGAGAGCTGCTCAATATGGACAAAATACAAGTATTGCGATTTTATCACTTTCTATTCCAAATACAATACACTTCAGAAATACTGAAAACATATTGGTGAATCAATAACTTTACATAGTTAAAGATTGCATTATCTTGTCCAAAATAATTTACTTTTGTTGGATTACATGAATGCTCTGGCTGGCCTGAATAATTTCAACAGTCATGCATTAGTTACATGCGAGAAGAGGTGGGTATACAACAGAGGCACAACAAATTTGATGAATCGTCTCAAATATGTGGGTATAATGCTCCTAATGTAGGCTACACTGTACACAGTATTAATACATCATGAAACTGTCCGGGTTCTCTGGTATTTAAAGTCTGTAAAATGCTTTCCAGCCAGCCCTAATGAACACCTTCATTTTTCAATTATCCATAGAAGCACTCATTTAGAACTGTGATTGGTCAGGATGCCCACAGCATACAGAACACTGTGACTGGGGCTCATTTGTATCCTTCTTTGAAAGTATTGCATAAGCCAATACTGCTACAGTCGTATGTAAAAGTTTGAATGACAAATGACATATTTTGTCGATTTTCTAACACATTGTCTACTGGGAACTTAACTATGGCATTTTTCTGCAAATGTAATGCACAATTTCTATTTATTTGAGTTTAACATGCTGGAAACAATGAAACTTTTGCACAGGCCTCATTTTATGTTTTACAATATGTTAAATTCAGATAAAAAACTGTAAGTGTGCATTAAAATGTGCAGAAGTGTGTTCTGTGTAGAATATGTGTTAAGAAATCAACAAAAACATAGAATTTAACCAGGGGTGCTTTTGCATACGACCATATAATGATTAACAAATAATACATTGTGCAGCTCTGCTTTACACTCTCATCACAGGCTTACCACATACTAAAGAGCTCAAATGTGGTACTGTGTAAAAGGGGCTAGCAGTTGCATGGAGAGTGGGTCGGCTTTGATAGAACACAGCCTGCGTTTGACGGCTCCTCTGAGATCCACTGACATTTTCACTCCTCACACTGTACGCTGGTGTTTGGATTTTTTGGGGGATGTCCGGTGTCAAGCGAAAACACGTGTCTGAGAGTTGGCAATTGCAGAACTGGCCCACACAGCTCTACAGGATCCATCTGAGAGCACTAAATCACTGCCATCTAGAGGCTTCAATACGGTCTGTGTCCCTGTCCACCTGCTGCTGGACATTTCAGCCCCCTCACGCGCCCACATAGAGACATATACTAAGCCCTCTATTCCAGCACCTCCGAACTGAAGGCCTTCAGACCATGCAGTTCAAGTGCACAGGCCTACAACAGTGCCACTCAGACACACAGAAACAGATGCAGTCTCTCCAGGCCATGGCTGTGGTTGCCAAATTCTGCTTCCTCAAACCCCCCCCACCGCCAAAGCCCAGCAGCCCGGCAGCTCAGCAGCTGTGGGGGTTTGGCTGGAAGTCTTCGGGCTGTATGCAGGCTGCGGGCCGCTGCCATTTCCTCCACACACCTCAGCATCTGTGTCTGCAGCCTGGCAAAGGACTGGGGCTGTGGGTTCTTAATCAAATCTGGATGTCTTTTTGGAAAACTGAGGGAAATTTAAAGCGGTTCATCCAAAAATCAAATTTTCACAATTCTTCACTTACACCAAGTATAGTCAATCAGCCAAGATATGCTTAATGTCCCAAGTTTGCTTCTTTGGTTTTTTCTTTGGAGCTACAAGGCTTATTTAGCTAGCAAGTATTGAAAGCTCATAGCTGCACCAATTAGCACTGTGCAAACTGCATGCCAATCATCACATGCTAGCCTCAAATTAAGCTGTCAAGGTAAGCTCAAATAGGCTTGCTTACGCTAGGATAGTCTAAAAAATGGACGTAAACTAAGCTAAAGCTAGAAACAGTAATAGCAGCCACCATGAAACCTTAAATTTGCCCATACATGTATCTATTTTTATAGATAACAGTCATACAGATTCAAAAACCACATAAGCAAGTCTATTTGAGATTACTGAACAACTCATATATTTGTGTAATAACAAATGTTTAGAGGATGATCTTTGGTATGAAGCTATTTGGTGAAGCTTTCATTACTTATTAGCTATGTTATCCTTGGAGCTTCAGTAGACAATAACAAGGAAAACTATATATATATATATATATATATATCCTTGATCATTATTATTTTGGTTTTTGGTTTGAAGATTCAGTATGATGTGGAAAGAAGCTCATAAGGCTGCTAACAGGAGCAGAGCTACTCAAGAGTACAGCAAGAGAAATAGAGGTGGGCATGTGGAGGAAAGCTTGACCTTTTCCTACAGTGTCATATCTGCAGGCTTCACACAGGAGGATGGAGAGAGTGCTCCGCTGGGTTATTCTGACCTGTTCTGTGTCCAGAACTGTGCCTGTCTGGGACCTTTTTGATCCCTTCTAAAGAGCATGAGTGCAAATGCTGAACACTGGCTGGACCTATTCTGAGCCTGCTTTAGTCATGCCAGCCTGGCAGAGCTGGACAGGTTATTACTGCACTGCATGATAGATTGTCAGGAGATAAAGTGAAGCACCATATTCACTTTATACCCCCCACCACCCAAAAAAAAACTGGGAAAATATGTGTGAGAAGAGGATGTTCTCTTCAAGCTGATATTCCTTCATTCTTTTTGTTCATTCCCACATAAATACACAGTTAACTCCACCACCGATAATAAAAATAATAATTCTATATTATTTTCTCTCAAAGCTCAGTGAAATAAGAGGGACAATTCTATCAAAGGCACAGATTCTAATTTTTCAATTTATACCACATCAGTGTTTGCAAGAACAAGAGAAAATATATTATTCTGATTTGAATTCGGAACCAGAACTTGCCCAGAAATTGTTGCAACCTGATGCATTTTCCTTTTTCCAACCCAAAAAGTGTCTGAAAAAGCTGTTTACAAGCCATAGCAATATTTGATTTGCAAATCCAATATAAATGTAATTCATGACGTAATGGAGTACATAATTAATTATGTAATTATGCAATTATATTTAAATAGTACAGCAAAATGAAAGACCTCTGAGGGTTAGAGTGGGAGTGGAACTGCACAGACAGAGCAGGCTAAGTGATGTCTGAGGAAGGGTTAAATCAGTTTGTTTAGAAGTTCTAATTGGTGGCTTGCACTGGGGCTTTCCCTCTTCATCTGCCTCTCGGCTCAGCTTCACACAGAGCCAGCCAGCAGCTGTGTGGAGGGCAAACGTACAGCTTTGGCTTCTCGGACAAAACTGGTACCAAACTGGGCACACACACACACACACACCCACGCCCACACTCCGCACCCGCTCCCAGGAGAGGCTGCAATTAGAATGACTGCAGTAATAACAGGGCTTACTGAAACAGCTGCATCTCTCTTCTCTTCTCTTCTCTTCTCTTCTCTTCTCTTCTCTTCTCTTCTCTCTCTTCTCTTCTTTTCTTCTCTTCTCTTCTCTTTTCTTCTCTTCTCTTCTCTTTCCTCCTGTTCTTTTTTCTTCTGTTTTCCTCTTTTTCCTTCTGTTCTGTTCTCCTCTATTCTCTTTTATTTTCTTCTTCTCTGTTCTCCTCTCTTTTCGTCTCAGGCATTTATATGAAAGTAATGGCAACCCTTTTTGAAATTGCCTGTACTCTGAACTTGCTGAATCAGTGCTTATGTCAGACAGACTCACTGTTTTGTTTCACAAGACTTTGCCCTCTTGCAATTTTTGCTTCCAGTGTTTTTTTAAAGCCACCTCAACTGTATAAGGTGCCAGTGGATAACAGCAAGAGTAACAGCTTCACTGCAGTATAACTAAAAAAGCTAACAAGACAACAACAGCAGGGACACGTTTTACCTTTGGAACAAAGTAATCTGAGCTAAAAGAATTTGAGCCAAAAGCTGCAGCTGATCTGTTGTTGCTATACATTGAGCCTTAATGACTGCAAGCCATCAAAGACACAACCACTGCTACAGCATGGACTGACCTCTGTAGTTGGGGGGGCAGATACAGGTGTAGTTGTTGATGCCGTCGACGCAGGTGGAGTTATTCTCACAGTCGTTGTCTTCACAGTCGTTGGGATTTACCTCACACCGCTGACCCTCAAAACCAGGCAGACACACACAGCTAGAGAGCGGGAGAGAACAGAGACACTGCTGTTATCATTGCTATTTGCTGTACTACTATAAAGGGCCCATATTGTGCAAAACAGAATTACCTTTTCTTTTTTTTTAATGAAAGACTTTGGAGTAGTACATAAACACTGCTTAAGTTTCAGTCCATACAATCCTTATATAGAGACTAAGCTGCAGAACAGCCTGTTTTGAGTTTACAGTTGTTGTCACTAAAATCAACTGTCTTTTCAGTCTACATCTGTTTAGCTCTGCCCATTTACAAGAAGTGTTTCAGACCAGTTTGTGTTTTGAATGACACACAATACAGAACATCCGATCAGAACAGAGATCATTTTACATATGTTAGTGTTAGAATCACATTTCACAATCACAATCACTTTCATCTCCCATTGTTTAGCACTCTAAACGCCACCCAAGCAATATGCTACATTAATGAAGTGCGGATGTGGACAGAACAAGGGTCCTGAGACAGCCCAGTGACCAACTGAAGGTCTTCTACCTGACATCTATTTATAATTTTATCACTTTTAAAAAGAATCTTAAAACGCACATATTTAGTGATGCATTTAACTCTTAGGGCCCATATGAGGGTCCACACTTACAATTCCTGACCCACCTTTTAGGAGTCAGGACCAATATCAATACCAAAACCTTTAAAGGTCTCATATCATTGACAAAGGAATTTTTTTCTCACTTTTTCAGATGAAAGAGTTTGATGTAGTATGTAAGAGGAGGATTTCTGTTGGGCAGTGCTCATTTTTGGCCTGAGTTATCTGGCTAACTGTGGAATATCCTCGTGCTGAGCTGCTTTGCCTGCTGTCTACATTGTGGCTCAGTGCCACCAGCCGCCGAGGCTTCAAAGCAAACTGAGTGTTTGATAAAGCTCGTTCTCCATGGCGACTCACTGGGAGAGACCAATAACACTTATCTCACCCGTTAACCAGCACCCACGCCCACCGGCGCCCGCCAGTGCCCACGCCCGCCCTGCCCCCGCCCAAGGCTCTCAGAGATGTCTCTCTCTGCCTCAAAGGGCAGTGGCTACATCAGAGCCCATATATCATACTTACCTCTCCAACCACTGACACCAACCTATACCACAAACACAAACCCTGACCCCGCTGCAGCCAATTGCATCTCCAGGGCCGTTTCATTGCTTTTTTGTAATGTCAAGTGGAACCTGATGCAGGCTTATTTGTTGTTTGTCTGGCCCAGCAGAGGCCGCAGCCCTCCAGTAATCGAATGTAAAGGGCAAAGCCGCATGTGTTTAAATGTTACAAGGTGATTTAGGAGGCAGAGAGCATCTGAAGGCAGGAAATTTACAGGGACATAAAACGAATCTGTCTGACTCCTGGTTTTTAAAGCGCTCCCTGCACAAATAATCAAAACCTGATGCATTTAGTAGATGCTATTGTCAGAGTCTGTATTTCACAGATCCCCAGAATGGAGATGATTTTTGACCAGTGACATCATGCTAGAATGTACCTGAAGTGGCCCTCCTGACCAGGTGTTAGGTGGCACGTGCCTCCGTTGCTGCAGGGCTGGCTGAGGCAGGCATTGGCGGCTATCTCACAGTTCCGGCCCTGAAAGAAAAGAATATGGAGAGGGCTCAGTGGCGTTTGTGACTCTGTACACTGTTCATTTTTAGGCATTTGTGTTAAGAATGCACCAATATGGGAATTGATGCTGATTATTATTATTTTTCATATACATATTTGCTGATGCTGATACTGATGCTACACATAAACATTTATTAAATGTAGAAACTGGCACTAGATCCACCTGGATTTGCATTGCAGAGTAATAATAATTTTTGTTTGTGATTTAAAATACCACTTCGAGCAAGCAAATGCACAGAAATGCATTTCAAACTTTGCCTTTTATTGCTACATATTACTTAAAACTGTTCTGAAGGTGAGCACACATTCAGATACGCAGAATCACAGTGCATCCAAAAATAAAGGCAGCATCGAGCCTCTTTTACACAGTGACGTACAGAAATTTTACTTGCCAACATTTTCTGCTATGACCAGTGTGGACATATACACAGCTCAACTGCTCTGAGAGCAGATGTTAATGAGGAAAAGAGGACAAAGTTTCTTTAAAAAAAGATGGTTCACACACATTCCATTTCCAATAAGAGATCTTAAGGCTTCCCAAATGTTATAACAAGGAGCCTAAACTGCAGCCCGCGAAGGTTTGATGGATTACAAGGGAGTGCTTGGGGTGGTGTGGGGGCACACACGTGATTAGTATTTTGCTGTTGTCAAGGAAAATGTTTTGTCTCTAAATGGTGAGGTAATTGGTCAGCTTCATTGCCTCATTTGCTAGCTTTTCTCCACAAACCACACATAATGAACTTGGCACATTAGAAGCCCCAGTGGTGAAAAATCCCTATTTTACATAGCTGTCATCATATTTTTGATTGAATGATGTATTTTCGCGGTTTCATTTTTTTTCTTGTTCTTTCTGTTTTGCAGCCCCATTAACAAAAAGGTCTGTAAATGTTGTCAGTTCATTCAAAAATGAACTAGCCATCACCTAAAAGCAGCCGACAGCAACCTACCCGCATGCACAAGGCCATACAGACACGTGACGTAGGTAGATATAATGTTACATAAAATTAGTTTATGCACGAGAATTAAGTCTGAAATAAAAATACCATTATATTCATTTTAATTATATTAGTAACGCTGATAAATGTCAGCAGTAACTCTCCTTGTTCAATGCTGCACTTGTGAGGCCCAGTCCCAAATGATGCTGGGGCCCAGTGATTGGGAACTTACGCTTTAAAGAACATTTCTTTATGGAACCAAAAGTGGTTCTTCCATGGCATTGGTCCAGCCCTTTCTGGCACCATTTTTAAGCACAGAACGCTGTACATTTCTCTGAATGAATTTTCCATGATTTCTAAGCATGTTGTTTTGGATACACTTCTGAAAAAGGCAGAGAAACAGTAGCTCTGTCAGTTCAAAGGCCTGGTTTGTGTTTCTCTGTCCCACATCCTGGCGCAGAATGGGAAAATTGTGTTTATGGGGGTTGAGTAATGGATCCAGATCTGTTTAACACTCTGCGGCTCTCGCTTTCTATCTGCCCATTTCAATTTCAAACAAACGCTTCCGCTACCGCTATGCTTATTTCCTTTCCACCACTCACAGCTCTCTCTCTCTCTCTCTCTCTCTATAGCATTAGCATTTGATTCTCCTCACACCTTTTAATTAATCTAGACCCAGAGGAAGGAAGAGAGAAGGAGAGAAGGTCTAACCAAGTGAAAGCTGTCGAAACCTAATAGAAGAGACTCGCATAGATACACACAGACACACACACACCTGAGCTGACCTTGGGTGCAGAGATTTTAATTAAAAGAGGGGCCATTGGTTTTGTGTTGTAGAGGGCGTGAGGTTAAGCTCTTATCTGTTCCACTGCAGAGGAACACTGACAGGAAGCCCATAACCAAACAAAAGCCTAATGATTTCATGCTGCAGTCAGGACACACACACACACACACACACACACACACATACACAGACACACACGCACCAGGGCTGCCCGATATGGACACAATACAACACTGCAACACTATTGCTTTATACCACTTCATATGTGTCACTAGACCCAGGGTTACCACTATATAATAACAAATAAACAGTAATTCTGTATTAAAATGTGCAGATATTGTTCATTAAAACATGCAATTTGACCAGGGGCACTAAACTTTTGCATAACGCTGTGCATAATTGTTACTTCTGCATTAGTAAGTGCTACAATTTAAATTACTAATCATTCACTTAGTGACACGCTCATTTTTTTAAAGGAATATAAATGCTTTTCATAAATGTAGTATATTTAAGTGAATTAAGTAATATAATATTATTACATTATAAAGTCACAAGAGGAGCCCAATTCAAGATTATTAACGTTGTTGAAAAGTATATATTAACCACTTAGTAATGATTAACTATTAAGGAAAAGATCATGACAGTTAGACATTATTAATAATTATTATTATTTAATAACTATAATTATATGCACCTAAGTGATCCTTAATATTTTAAGCAATATATTATTTTAGTATCAATATCTTAATCACTATTAACAAACTCTAATTAATGGTTAGATTTGTACAATTCAAGATTATTGATTATTTGTATGCCACTAAGTCAATGGTTCATAGATCAAACTGTACTACTGATGAATAGATCTGTAACTATTATGTAATTACTGACAGTAATATGATAGTGATAGATAATAGTTTTGTTGACCTATTATACTGGGAGACATTTCCCACAGTGCTCCAGTGTCTTTCCTTTCAGTTTCTATAGTCCGGCTGTATAGCAACTGTTCTCCATATGGAGTTAGTGCTAGGTGGACAGGAACATTTTTAACGACATTTTTAATGTTTTAATGATATGCATATTGTTGCTGTCAAAGCAAAACCTCGTGTTTCGTTCATTTTTACACCATGTCAGCTGCTCTTTAAATTGTTTGAACATTTTATGAAGAATTAACTAGCAGAAATGATCTGAGAATAAAATCTCATTAACATACAATAAAGTTCGGAATGTTTTTCCTTCTCCTATAAAGTTTCCATCTTGGAGACGTGCCATTTTCTTACAGCAGTGATGATAAGTAGAGCCGGCTGACACGTTTAATTTAGCAAGAAAAACATCCTGATTAGTACTCTAAATGTGCACTCCCGGCCTCGGACTCATTCTCCATTGATCACTGAGAGCACTGTGTATGCATGAGTAGAGGAGCTTCCAATATATTGAGTAAGCTCAGGAAGATTGATGAGAAAATCCTCTTGCACTCTCATAAAGAGATGCACAGCTCAAAGGGCTGTACAGTAAGCGCAGTAAGGCTGAGCAGCACTAAACGGCTGAGGTTTCTCTGCAGAATGCATAGAGGGTATGATCTTCTCACCTTGTAGCCGAAGGGGCAGGTGCAGTGGTAAGACCCGGTGACATCACTAACGCACGTGCCGTTGTTCTGACACGGGCCAGCCAGACAGGGGGCGCACTTGGACATCAGATTCAAATCCACAGGGCCTGCGAGAAATGCAGAGAGTGAACAGTAAGAGAGAGTGAGTGATGATCTGAGAGGAAGAGACGCTGACACTAACTTTTTAATGTTGAGGCAAAAAAGTATTTATTATTACTATTATTTTTACTTCCTTTAAATATGTGATTCTCCAGTGCTGTTGTAAAGAATATGACCCAAGCTAAAATATGTAGAATTCTTTGTTTGTCTTTTTTTTGTTTCTGATAAACAAATCGATAATAAGCCCTAACGATGTGAATTTCATTCTGAATGTAAGAACATATTCTCTCAGAAACTATGCATCCAACAACAAAGGCAGCATGGTCTTTTATACCGTGACAGAAAGAATACAGGAGCACAAAGAATTGCTGATCCATTTTACTGCCCAATGCATGGAGGCTAACTACTCTGGGGTAGATTTTAATGAGTTAAAGGGGGCAACCACAAAGACTTGTCAATGCCATATTAGGTAGGACAGGGTTAACAGGCTACACTCTGACTGGGTCACAGAGGCCATTCCTAAGTCAAATTTTAGGTCCTGCTCTATCCAAATAAATAAAAATCCCCCTAATCTCTTCCTTAAGCTCAAATCGATCTCCCAGCAGTGCTAATTGGCTTTTAAGGGTTTTGCGGTTCAAACCTAAAAGCACTTGGGTTCTCTGTCAGGTAAAGAGAGAGAGCAAGACAAAGAGAGAGAGGTTCACCTTTGCACTGGAAGCGGTTAAGGGGGGTGGTCAGCAGCAGGCGGTCAGCCATGTCCGGTGGTCCAGTACAGCGGGCAATACCAGGCTCCTTAAAGCCAGCCTTCACCCACTGGGAGAGCCAGCGGAGCTCACAATCACAGTACAGTGGGTTAGCACCCAGAGCCCTACACACACACACACACACACACACACACACACATATGTGCACACACACACATATTTGTATATATACAATGTCAGGACGTGGACTCATTTATGTCTTATATTTTTATATATTGCTGCTGTTGGAACAAAAACTTGTATCTCCATTTTTGTATTGTCATTTTTTCAGTTTTTGGCATAATTTAAAAATGCCTGTTGCTCATAACATTGTCTGTAAATTTGATGATGAATGGACCAAAAGAAACAGCCCAAAATGACTTGGAAAAACATCTGGTTCCATTGACTTACATTAAAAGTAAAGTATGTTTTTTCCTTCTCCTGTAAAGTTACCATTTTGGAGATACAAGGTTTTATTCTGACAGCAGCGATATGTAAGTGCTAATATGTAATAACAATGTCCCTTATGTATTATACATACATACATATTGTCGCTGTCCAAAGAGAACCATGTATCTCCATTTTTGTCTATTTTTATTTTTCTACATCATATCACCAGACCAGTTGTCCTTTACACTGACATAAATTTCATGATGAATGGCCCGATAGAAACGCTTTAAAATCACTTGGAATAAAATCTCTTTACCTTAACTTACATTGAAAGGTAAGAGTGTGTTTGCCTTCTCCTGTAAAGTTACTATTTTGGAGATACTTGTTTTTCTTTGGACAGCAACAGTACACTCTTTCAGTTAAAAAAATGAAACACAGCATTTACAAAAAGCACTCTGCCTTGTCATGGGCATTCTGTTGTACATGTACATAAAGAAACCAACACACACTGAAGACAGAGGATTAGTCCTACAAACCGGTACGGAGGAGCTCAGGAACATAAAGACACACACACAAACTCTAGTCAAACACACACACACACACACACACTTGTACATCCTACTCAACGGCACAAAGGCAACCTCTTCATCTGCTACAGCCAAATCAACTGCACTTCCTTCTATTCTGTCTCTAATCAAACAGAGGGCCCTTATCCCTAAAGAGCAACCTTTCTGTGACAGTTCCTTTCACAGCGGCTCTACAGTAACTCCACTTAAAACTGGCAGCAGGAACTACAGCCGGGGGAAAGCGAGAGAGCGAGAGCGAGAGAGAGCGAGAGAAAAAAAACAAAACAAGTCATAAGCCCTCATTGATGGATGCCTTTTAGCTATAATAAAATTTACAAAGATTTCCTGTGGGGCCCTGTCTCAGAGCTCTAAGCTTGGGGCGGCTCTTTAGGAAAACTGCTCTTTCTCTCTCTCTCTCTCTCTCTCTCTCTCTTAGTGGGCCCAGGTTGCACCCGGTAATGAAGTCAAACCTCTACAGATCATAAAAAGCTGAGTGAGTCTGCAAGTCTGACGCTGGAAGCCTGTCATTAATAGGGAGGGAATAGAGAGAGAGAGAGAGAAAGAGAGAGAGGCTCACACACACACACACACACACACACTTACAGATGAGACAGAGACGTCAAGTGGTTGAAGGCTCCCTCTGGAATAGTTGAAAGGTCGTTTCCGTGGAGGGTTCTGGAGGAGAAGAAAGAGGAGAAATTGAAAACAAGCACATGCAACGCTTCACGATGGTCTCATTGTTTCGCCCACTACAAAGACGAATCAGGGAGAGAGAGAATGGTGCGGCACGAATTAGCTTTGGCCATTTTGCCTATGTCCCGAGCAGGGGTTAAACTGGGATTCCATCTATTTTTTTCATGCGTGCCAACAACATGGGAACAAGATTGTTAAATTCATGTGTTATTATATGGAGTTTTCAGCACTTATGTCATGGTATCAATGTAATTATCAATGTAATTATCATTGTAATTAACGGTAGTGTCTATAGTTATAGTTATACAGCTATACCGAGCTAACTAGGTGCTAGTGCGCCTGTTGAGTGTATAAAGCACTCAACAGCTAGTTGGCAAAGAAGTCAACATAATTGCACAAATTGGCTATCAAACTGAATAAAAAACGAGTCACATGAAACAGGCCTAATGTATGAACATTTGCTTTGGCTATCTGGTGAAAATCTTCTCTGAATAGGCAAAAAAGTCTAGCTAATTTAGAACAGAACTGCATGATTGTGAAGGAGGATGATGTGCTGCATCACCAAAAATCATGGGACATTAGAAGGGGAGGGGTCAGATGGGGGCAGATGTGCAGAGGGTGCCTGTTGGCGCAGTTTATCACACTGAATGGTTAAATGAATTTCTCAAAGAGTGTATTAGAAATGATAAACCAGAGCTCCACTCCAGCCCACTTTAACCTCATGTCTTACAGAAAGTTAAAATTTGCACTGAGAATTCACTGTAAGGCAGAGATGTGGGAGGTAGGGGTGCTGAGGAAGCTGCAGCATTCCTTGATTTCAGGATTGTTTAAATGCAACTGCTAAAAATAATAAAAAAAAATAGAAATCTGAGATGATTTGAACATAGTTAAAACCTACGTGTGCTTTTCAGACAACATTTATGTTGTCAAAACCTGCACTAGCCATACACTGATTAACTTACTGCAGCATTTTCAGCGAGGGAATCCCCTCACAAATTGTTGGACGACTTGGGGGGTATTACTAAAACACAAGCAATTTTACGGTCCAGAGTGAAAGCGTGTGCAGCTGAAGGCAAGTTCTGGGCCCTAAAGCAGCCAAATATCGTTTTAAAATCCCAAACATAATATAATAGTGCTCCATGTTGTGAATACACTGTTTTTGAATCATTATAGCTCCCGATATGCATTTGAGTGTTCAGTACTAAATCTTCAGCATGTAGCTTGACTACGGGTGTGACACAATTGGGTCAGGTGTCAGTCTAACAGCAATCTGACCCTGTGCTCGGACAGATACTGCACCACTGAGGCCGGAGTTTGTGCCCCCTGGGGCATTCTGGGAAATGACCAAGTGAGAATGATGTGCCGACTACAGATGTGCTGACTGATGGATAGATATGCTAACACAAAAAAGGTGCTTATTAAAATATCCCATAGTCTTTAGGCCTAATTTGGAATCTGTAGGCCTTAACATTTGGTCACATTATGGTGTTGAATAGCTGTAGTGGCCACTGAGTCTAAATATCTTTGAAAGAAACTTTCTCCACTGTGCGAAACCTAATATTGTACTTTGTGATAAATTTTGTGATTTTATTTGTGACTTTCACTCGAAGTCTCGTGCTTATACTTTGTCCTTTTCGTGAATACTCCGTTAATGCTTTGTTGTATCAGAGTCTGATTTGTGGACGGCTTCTTTTGCATTGTTAAACTTGCAATGAAGCGGCAAAGCAGCCTCAACACCATAATAATATCGCTGGTCAGAACTGCTGACGCTATGATAATAATATTGTCAAATTGCCAAAGCCTGCCCAGAATGGCAGTATGGCGGGCTTCAGGGCTTCAGGGCTGTGGCTTATAAGTGGTGGGAGTGGAGAAGAAAGGAAAATACAATGGCTGTCTTTCTCTGTCTACAAAGAGGAGGACCTGCTGAGGCCAGACAGGCATTTTCCCTCTCAAACCTGTTCTGTTTCACAGCCACTTCCTAAACTGGAGTTTTTAATCCTGGCTGAGGGGCTGAGCCTGAGAGTGTGTGTGTGCGTGTGTGCGTGTGTGTGTGTGGAAACAGGAAGTGGACTTACAGCAAACGCAGAGAGCGCAGTCCATCAAATGCATGCACTGGCACACAGCGGATCTGATTATAACTCAGAATACTGCAGAAAGAGAGAGTGAGTGAGAGAGAGTCACTTACACTGCAATTCAAAAGCTTGGAATCACCATTTAAATGTTTTGGAGTCAATGTTCTTAATTCTGTTGCAGATAAATATATTAATTTATTGTAATATTCTAATCCTATAATTTTGCAGGTTTATGATTAAGTAAATTAGTTGGATATTGGCATATGAAAGGCCTGTAGATGATTCTAAAATAACTGAAAAAGCTGTAAAATCATAGAATAGAAAACTGTATTTACATTGGTGTAGTTAAATAAGGAGAGTTCAGTACATGGAACTGACATACCGTGAACCTCAAATGGGCCAATTCCAAAATTACAAACTGTTACATAACAGTCTTGACTCATTAATACTTATGCCACCAAAAATTCACATACACCTGCCCATGTTCTACCCTAGCAGGTATTGTGAAGAATGAAACAACGACAAGGGAGCAACAACAATGAAAATGGCACATCATGTGCAGAAATTGTACCGTTCCAGGCTGTAAAGGGGATGTCAGCACTTTTCATACCCTTGCCAAGGAAAAGAAATGTCAACAGACATGGGTGATGCCAATATTTAAATGAGGCTGAAGTTGGCTTCCTATTTGCCAAGTTCTTATTAAAAGTTCTGTTGCACCTTAAATGCTACAGCCTTTGCATGCACCAGAATATACAGTGCCAGAATGTAACTGTGACACCATTTAAGGTGGAACGGAAATTTTGCAAATCGAGCTGGTGAATAGCAAGCCAACTTCAGCTCTCACATCTTTAACAACTTTAATTCAACATTATTAGTTTTGCACTTTTTACTCAGGGCAGTTTCTCAAACCTTGGACAATATCGAGCAGCCTTTGCTCACTGTTTCACACTGAAGAGACAGAGAGGCTGTTTCAACTTTAATAGCATCACAACCCCAACAGCAACCTGTAAGTAGCCATGCTGTGAGATTTTATCCACATTTTGACAACTGAAGCCAGGTCATCTTAAATTGAAAGTTTCATAGCGAGCTAACAACTTTAATTTACTTTTTGTCAAGACTGAAAGCAAGTAGCTAGTACAGGTAGAGTTCCAAGTAACTAGCACAGCCAACTCTGTACGATGACCTAGCTTATTTACGTGGAGGTTCCTTTTATTTTTCTGAATGTGTCTTTTTCGACATGCTGCTTCTGTGCAAGCCATCATGATAATTCACTGTTTCATTTTAGAGCCAAATCATGGAGTTGTAAATGAGTTGTAAAATACTGAATAAATGCACTCTATGGCACCTTTAACATACAAAATAACATTCAAAATCACTTGTATTTCAAAAGTAGTGATCAAATATTGAGGCACATAATGGAAAATTACTGTAAACAGATAAATACATTTACATTTATCATTTAACAAACCATTGATGTTCCCCCAAAAACCTTAAGTATTAAGTAAAACACCTAAAATCTACTATCTACAGAGTAAAATTACATATCACTGCTGTCGGAACAAAACCTTGTATCTCCTTTTTTTGTTTTTCAGTTTTTGACATAGTTTAAAAATACCTATTGCCCTTTACTTTGTGTGTAAATGGCATGATGAATGAACCAAAAAAAATAGACCAAAATTACTTGGAAAAAAGTTTGGTTCCATTGACTTACATTGGTTCCATTGACTTACATTAAAAGTAAGTACAGTAAAGTGTATTTTCCTTCTCTTGTAAAGTTATCATTTTGAAGACAAGATTTTGTAGTGATATATAGCTACTGCATAAGTTACTGTTGTACACTACTGTTCAAAAGTTTGGAATCACTTGTTACTTCTAGTACCTGCTGTTTCATTCAATAATAAATTACACAATATAGATTGTATATAGATATAAACTACAGAGGAGAATGTATTTTCAAATATTTTTGATAAGTATAAAAAGTTAATGATGAACAGTAAACTATAACTGCCTATTTCTGAAAACCTCTCGTCAAGTTGTTTGCTTCGAGACATACGAGAAATGTGAGGTGGTCTAAACCCTCATTTTATTACAACTTTTTTCTCAAGGTGAAAGAACTTTCACAGCTATTACAGAACAATTTACATGCTGTTTAACTTTCATAGACACATCTAATCCTTCTTCATTTTTCCCACAAACTATATAAAGTTACATAGTCCGAGCATCACATCAGCACCATTTTGTGCATGTATTGTGTTTGCATGTAAGATTCCGAACGTTTGAACAGTAGTGTATATAAATACCAAATGAGTAATTTTGACAGATGATTTCACTTTTGTGAAAGTGCACAAACCACACTAACACAATCAGACATAATTGATACACAGAGAGAAGCTGCACTGCTGTGGTTGTTGTCAGTAGTGTGGGAGGTAGCAGTGTGCGGTAGACTCACAGTGTGGAGAGCTGAGTCATGTTGCTGAAGATGAGTGGAGTCAGAGAGCTGATACTGTTATTACTCAGGTCTCTGCAGGGCATCACAAACACACACACAATTAACCTTATGCACCAACAAATCTCTGACAAACATCCACTTCAAACCTCAAACGAAACATGCAACCCATACTGGACTTTAACACAGTGTAACGTCTTCTGAAATGCCAACCTCTACTTAACAAAATTAGCATCTGCCCACAGCACTGCAATAACTGGGTTTGGAGAAGAAGGAAATTAAAGTGATTGAGCTGAGCTATGAAAGGATGGAAATACATACACAAGCAAGAGTTGTTTCAGACTGGACAGCTCCTTGGGCACTGATGTGAGCTGGTTGCCTTCCAGATATCTGGGATATAGAGACAAACATGTTTATATACTGCCACATTCGCACCATTCACTCAACAGCATCAGACTTTCAGTGAGTGTGCTAAAGAAATAACAAGTGAAAATAAAACGTTTTTGCTGGATTGAATTTAGATAGACTCCATGATCAAAATCCATGAAAAGCTCAAGGTTTAGAGGTTGGCAATTAGCCACAATGTATGCAAACATGAAAAAAAACATGTTCTTTTCAATGCTGTACTAAACAAGCTAGGAGAGGCCAGTAAGTTCAACCACTGTGAGCACCCATCCAGTATGTACTATTTCAAATATTAATGCAATGCAATATAAAACAGCATAACACAATGCAGCGCAACATAACGCAGCATAACACAATGTAACATAACACATCACAACGTGACACAACGTCAGGTCAGGTCATGTAAAATAACACAACAATGTAATAACAATGTAAAGTAACATTAGATAATGTGGTGTAGCCTGTCTTAAAAGCCTCACACTCACTTATATGTGGTACTAAACAAGCTTGGAAAGGCCAGCAAGTTCTACCGTTATGTATAAGTATCTAGAACATAGTACTCAACAGTGAAAAACAACTCTGCTGAAAGTTTGGCATCCAAACCTTTGTGTTTGTAAGCAGAAGTGAGCATATTTTATAATGATTTGAATCAAATGAGTTATGTTGTTTTGCAGAAAGAAAAAAACATTAATTACATTTATTTATTATTTTATTACTACATTATTACTACATTATTACAAGTCATTACGTAATTAATTATGTAGCTACGTTGGTAACACTTTACTTTGGTGTGGTCCTTTGTAGATGATTAATAAACTCTTAATAGATCATCAGTAAGACATCTAAAACATCAGTGGAGTAGCAGTAGTGAAGCATCTGAATACACTGAAGTAAATATCTTGTAGATGTTCTGTTGATACTTTACTTACATTAAGTAGATGTTGTTAATATGTTACTTCCATTACAAAACCTAACCTTACCCAGCCTTACCAAAAACCTAACCCTAACCCTGGCCCTAATCCCAACCCTAACCTCGACCTCAACCCAAAACCTAATCCTAACCCTCATATGTTTTTGACAAGTTACTCAGAGTTTGTTGAGTGTTTGTTTCATCTAAAATGACCACTCAAAATAAACTGTCACCAAATCCAGGACTAGTGTCACCAAATCCAGGCTTAATCCCTGTATGGAAAAACAACCCTAAGGTTAACATACTTCTAAGGCGTAAAGCAGTTGTTTTGATGGCCTTTTCTTTAAGTTCAGCATGACTCAGACTCTGATCAGCCACAGCCAGAGCAGAAATGGACAGCTCTGTTTTGATGTGACATTGGTGTAATGCCTCAGATGACAGGGGAAAAAATGTATCGCTCGTGACAAACTAATTCCTGGAATCACCGCTGGCTAATGGGACTCAATAGCCAACGTGTCAGAAATGTGTTGGAAAATAGTGAAACAAAGATGACAGAATGACATGAGCAACAGGAGAGAGAGACAGAGAGGGAGAGAGAGAGAGAGACAAAGAGAGAGAGAGAGAGTGGCTCACAGCTCTGTGGTGTCCTTGGGGATGCCCTTGGGCAGAGAGCGCAGTCCGCGGTTGCTGCAGCGCACCACTGTATCTGAGCATGTGCAAGGCTCTGGACAGCGAGGGACTGATGGCAAACAGGCATTCTCCTCTACACCTGAATAAAGGGAGAGAGAGACCTTGTTGTAACCTGAGGGATAACCAGTAAGGCAAATCATCAATTTATCATTTGTTTAAAATGAAGGAAAGAAAAAATAGCTATTAATCTTGTAAATAACTAATGAAATATCTATATGTACATTTAGAACATTCATATATTATTCAAGCTAATAAGGGACTTTTACACTGAACTGAACTGAGAGAGAGATGAACAGCCAAACAGAGATAAAGAGAAGGGAGAGATAAAGAGGAAGACATAAGGAGAAAGAGAATAAGAGAGAGAGAAAAAGTGGGGGAGAAAGAGTTTCATATTTAATGCTTCTTTACTGAGATATCGCCCACACAAAGAGGAAAGTGAGCGAGGGTCTCTAACACAGGTTTAATATAGACATTCATGAATTCTTTAAAAAGGAGAGAATGAGGGACGGGGAAAAGAGAAGGAAAGAGAGAGAAAAAGAACACAGCAGCGGTGAAAACCACAGGTGCGCTGGTGTGTGTGTGCGTGTGTGGCAACTGGTCCAAAACTGATTTGAGCAGCGGCCGTCCCAAAATAGCCCAGTGACCAGCTGCTGCAGGGATATAACCATCATTACCCAAAACACTTGCTCCTAATAAGTAAAACAGCACACAGGAGTTAATGATTGTCCACTAAATATTGTTCTTGGCCAGCACGGGCGTCCGTTTTCCTCAGGCAGCCCTTACTGCCTCCCTCCGCCTGCTTTCATTCCCCACCCGCGAGATCCTATCTGCAAAGGAGCCTGAATTACACTCCAGATTAAAAAGCAACAGAGAATTAAGACATTAATGAGAGGCAGTGGAGCCACAGCAACACTCCAACAATAACAGCCTGATAGAGAGAGAGAGAGAGAGAGAGAGAGAGAGTGAAAGAGAGAGGTAGAGAAAAACACAGAGTGAGAGAGAGAATGAAGGAGAGAAAGAACGGAGAAAGAGAGAGAGGATAGAGAGTGAGAAAAGGGAAGAGAGGGGAGAGAGAAATAAAAAGAGATAGAGAGAGAGAGAAAGAAAAAAGCAACAGAGGAGAGAGAGAGAACGAGAGAAAAATAGAGAAAGAGAGCAAAGAAGAATAATAAAGAGAGAGTGAGTGAAAAAGAAAGAGAAGGAGTGAGAGAGAAAGAGAGAGACAGAGGTGAGAGTGAAAGAAAGGAAAAAGAGAGACAAGGATTTAGGGGAGGGAGAGTGAGTGAGAGAGAAAAAAAGAGGATAGAGAGCAAGAAAAAGAGAGGGAGGGGAGGGCTTGAAGCGACAGTGTTATTTTCCTCTGCTGATTGGGCTTCTCCAAGCTGCTGAAAATGTCTTCCCGTAAATCAATTTAGTTTTATTTTGTTACTCCTGAGTGTAATTTCGGAGCTCCAAAAATAGTCTGATGTTGTGGTGACAAATACAGAGTCTTTCGAGAGGCAGGAAAAGGGCTTGAAAACTCAGTGACCCTCTCGATCACCCCAGCTGTGAGGAAGAGCACAGCGTGGACTTCACAGTGCATCTGGGTGAAAGCAGGCAACACAAAGCTAGTTCTGAACATATATATAATGCTAACTAAAGGCTCTCTTCCAGAGCCTCTGCTTTGAGCCTCTTTATTTCAAAGTGCTTGCTCTCTGTGTCTGAGCAGGCTTTCCTCAGCCTACTCCCAGAAGCTCTTAAGCAGCAAAAGAGCCGCTCTCCCCAAAACACTTGGGCTTTGATGGCGAGGCCCTGCTCTAGCAGAGACTTCAGCCAGACGGAAGCCAAACCACATTTCCTCTTCTCAGTTTAAATTTACGGCAGCGCTGCAGGGGCTCACTAACCCCTCCGCTTCGCGACTGCAGGGAAATAGCTGCTGTTTCCCTCCAAAAGCCAGCTGAAGTGCGATAACGCAGAGGCCTTGAGATTTGATTTGGACTCCTGATGCCCTCTCAGTACAGGAGGCTGGGCGTGAGATGGGAATGAAGGCAAGGGAAGCGTGTGGAAATGGAGCACGGGGTGACCAAAGCCTCTTATCCCCCTGGGTCGCGGGGGGGAGCTTGAGCCCTGGACAGGCCGCCAGTCCATCACAGGGCAGATACACAGACACATACATTCACACCTAGGAGCAATTTAGCATGTCCAAATGGCCTGACTGCATGGGAGGAAACCGACACAGACATGGGGAAAACATGCAGAAAGGACCGAACCCAGGCCCTTCATGCTGTGAGGTGACAGTGCTATCCACTACACCACCGTGCCGCCCATGAATAGGTCACATAAGTAAGAAAAAGAGCTGTAAATGCTTTTATTAACACAAAACAGCTCTTTACTAATACTTCGGTACATGTTGTGAAACTCACACATACTTTCATCAAAGTGTCTAGAAAAGTATATGAAAAGTAGACTTTGTTAAAAAACATTGCCTCTCTTTTTCAAACTACCATTAAAAGGGCTTATTGAAACCCTTTTGGTCCAAAGGGGATTAAACCAGCTAAAAGGTTTGAGTGCTGATGAGTGCTGACACACCAAGGAGATGAAATGCGGGGGTTTTGGCATTGTTCCCAAGGCAGCACTGTCACAAATATTTATGTATTTATATCATTTTTACCACAAAATAAACCTGCACAGTCTTTAATGTGTTAAGTTATTGCAAACTGATGAAGAAAACATGCTCATCACAACCAGCCAAAACTTTTAACAGGCACTGCATAAAACATGGGGCTATAGGACTCAGTAGCTAAACTAACCCATTGTAAAGTCTGCTGGGTCTTGATTCATTAATGACCGTCATAAGTGTCTTCATGCGGGATGGATTTCAGCCATTCAGATGTTGTAAATGGACAGACACATGAATGGATGACTGCATGCTTGCATGCATATATAAAAGGATAAATTCCCCTATGTTTTTGCACTTAAACTGAGATATTTAGGTGTTAAAGCTTAGAGAACATGTTGAGAAACGTGTGTATACCATCGCATGTAAAGTCTGGTGCAGCCACGTCCTGTATGGGAATCTCCTTCAGAAAGGCAGGTTTCTGGCACCGAGGATTTCCACTGACCACTCGCGTCTTCTTTAGCCACTGACCCAGCCATGCCAGGTGACAGTCACACACGTAAGGATTGGACAGCAGGTTACTGCACACACAGAAGAACAGATTCAGGCCATTAGAATGTAATATAAGCATTCAGGTGGAAGCTGTTTTGTCACTGTGACTTTATATGACTTAGAAAAGGGACATTCTTAAAGGGGCATTCTGACCTAAAACTAGCATGTAATGTTAGTTGTCACGTTATGTAATACAAATTTGTATCCTTTCTGCTTTTTTGTCTGTCAGCGTTCTCTCACTACAATACCCAGCTTGCATTGCACAAACCACTGAGAATCCCACCTACAGATGTGAAGAAATGCACTCATGTAGAGGCTGATAAATACAGGCGTGATATTCAGCTTCCGAGTAGTAAGTTAGTTGTCTGGCTCCTTCTGCATTAGCCAGCTAGCGGAAAAAACAAACAAACAAACAAACATTTAAAGCAACCTGCCTTCAAGTACCTTTAGTGCTGCATCTTTAGCTAGTCAAGAATACCAAAGACAGAAGCTCAGCAATTTTGGGTGAAGCAGCCAAACAATGAAAACATAATGTCATAGTAAGTTTATTTTCAGAGACTCCCCAGAATTTTGATTTTGAGACATTCAGGGGGTCCAAGAGGTTAAATAAGGAGGTACTGGACCCCTAGGACCCCCTGTATTTCACACCTTGGTTGTTGGCTAATCAACTTTTTAGTAATTGTGGCCCTATCAGAAATATTGTGATTGTTAACACATTTGACACGTGTTTTTACAGCTGACCTTTATTTTTCACATTAGTACCAGTAACTTTGCGATAAAGGTATTTTTGACTTTTGTTCAGCCACAGAGCTGAACATAAGGCGTGGGAGGAACACTAGACAGAGACACATTTTATCACATCTGGGCTCAGGCAGGCTCTTAAATCTATCCCCCCAGTCTGCTAAATGGACCACAGGAGTGGAGCCTTCACAACCAAGTTACTGACCCATTTTTCATGTATCCTCTCGGAGCTCGGAAAGTTCACCTAGTGGAGCAGGGACCTAAATCACGAAAGTTTGGCCTTGAGCGGAAGGCGTCACCAGCAATGAGTCAGCAGGGTGGTGAGCGCAGCGGCTGACGGGGTCTGGTGACTGGGCGTGGCTGACTGATACTGTTACAGAGCCTCTGTTGGAGGTGGCCCAGGACTGCTGCTCCAGTCAGGAGCAGCAAATGGAGTGTCTGAGACGAGCCGATCCTTTTCTATAGCCCACAGCATAGATTAATTAAGTGGGTTGACCTTCCGATGCACTGCCAACTGATGTCCCAGAGAATGCAGGCAGCGGCACCCGGTAATACCCGCACCGACCCGCCATGTGTTTGCCTTTAATTATTCACACGGCGCTCCATAAACAACAAAGCATCAAATGGGTTCATTATCTTCAGAGAAAGTGCAAAGAGAAGGAGAAAGAGAGAGAGAGAGAGAGAGAGAGAGAAAGAGAGAGAGAGAAGCCCATGCTGTCTTTCTCCAGTGCTAAAGGCAGATGGAGAAAGCACAGAGAAAATAAACAAAAGCCTTGGGACAGCCTGGAACAATTCACCAGTAATGAGCTAACACTAATAATGAGCCACTACAAAAAAAGAAAGCAAATAGCTGTTTCTATTGTGCTAATCACCAATCGGAGCAACAGAGGAATAACCTGTGACCTCTGTGTGTGTTCCCTCTGGTCCAATAACCTTTCAGCTAGCATTGAAAGCACTGCTAACGTTCAAGTTCATGTACAGGAGTGGCCTGAGGGTGGAGGGACAGGCTGGCCAAAACACTTTATGCACCAGCACTGTGAAAGAACAGCTGGACATCTCTCTCTCTCTCTCTCTCTCTCTCTCTCTCTCATGCCAGCTCTCTAATTACTCTGCAGCTGACGTAGACGGATCCACTCCAACACTGAGCTGCTAAAAATACAGAGAGAGGAAAAAGAGAGAGAGAGAGAGAGACAGAGACAGAGTGTAATAGAGAGAGATAGATGAAAGAGTGAAACGAGTAAAAAAGTGAAGCAAAACGGAGACAGAGAGTGAAATATATAGAAAAGGCCCAGATGTCAGGAACACACCAGTTCACTCTGGGCAACACCGCCCTAGAGCACACGATGCAAACAAGCATCCAACAGAAGGCCTGCATGCAGAATTCTGTAGAATGATGCAAACAATCTAAAGGAAAACACCAACCAATGCATGCAGGGCAGAATTTCCTTTGTTAATAAACATTCCAAAAAGATTTCTACATTTCTGGAGTCCCTGTGTGTGTGTGTGTGTGTGTGTGTGTGTAGAGAGAGAGAAAGAGAGAGAAAGAGAGAGAGAGAGAGAGACAGAAAGTGAGTTAAACAGAGATACAGAGAGTGAGAGAGTAAGATAGAGAGAGACAGAGGGAGGTATTCATTCATAACTGCTGTTCATTCAGTTTAATGCTGAATCGTCCGTAGGCCACTGACTCACTCGTAAACACACACATACACACACACACACACAATCCGCAGTGAGTCAAAGCGCATCTTTGTGTTCATACACTTGTTTTACATTAAAAAACTGAACACCTACACACACACGCACACACACACACAGACACACACACACACTCACAGATGCACAAAATGCAGCTGCTACACACCATAATTCACATCAAGTCCACATTTAAAGAAACGTTACCTGAAGGCAGCCTGAATAATTCAGAGCATTTTGCTGCCTCCGTCTGTTTGTTATTTTTCTGCTGATTACTCTGCATTATCTCTTTCCTCCAGCCCCGCGGCGCCTTCAAATGTGCTACATCGCATCGTTCTGCTGATTTCAGTTCAAAACGCTATAAAACTCATAAAACTCATGTTTGCAATTCTGAACGTCATTCAGAAATTGTTCCTAATTTGCTTCATGTGGTAAAACTAGAAACGTTATGTTGGCGCCGTTTCAGAAATAACTGAGTATAACTGTGTCCGAGCTCAAAGACGTCAGTGTGGTAGTGTTTTATCATTTTATAAGACTGAAACGTTTTGGACATCGCCCTCACAGAATATTTGGATCTGTTTTCTAGCGAAGAAAGCAGCCCCTCTTTTTGTTCTTTTTATGTCATTCGTCATGCTTGAAGGCGGCCAAACCAAAATACTGACATCAGTCGTTTGAGAGAAAGTGCTGAGAGACAAAGAAAACAAGCTCAGAATTTGGAAAAGCATCTGCAAACAATAATGCACAAGAAAAGCATAGCACAGTTTGATTACACCACATGCTCAGCCTTTCTTTCTATGGGATTATAATAGCGGAATGATTGGTGCTGCATGTGTGACCAGATCCACTGCCTTTGACTTTCCTGTGCACTAGTGCACCACAGAAAGCAGCTTTTAACCCCGTACTGACCGAACACTCGCTAAGGAAAACTGTAGTTTGGACATTTTCAGTTATGAGCTGAATGACTGACCGACTGACACATACGTGCCATCCAAAGACAGTTCTGCTGCTGGTTAACACTAATGTTGTGTTTGATAAACAGCACTAGTACAGTAGATTTGGATATCTAAGTGTGTTAAAGTCTTAACCTCTTAAGACTTAAAAGTGGCATGTACATTTTTTGTTAATTTATTAATCTTTTTACTAATTTTCTCTTCCCAATTTAGTTATGCCCACTTGCATCCATGAGCTTGGGAAGCTAAAGGCTAATGCTTGTTTCCTCTAAGATACGTGCTGCACCTTGGAGTCTTTTCAAACTGCTGGTACCACAACGTCACTGAAAACCTGAACTCATTGAGAGGAGAATACTAACTACAAATTCTGTTACATCAGTTGACAAATCATTGCTGTTGGAGCAAAACTCCATATCTCCAAAAAAAAAGGAGATAAGAGGTTTTCCTCCAACAGTGACAAAATGCTTACGTTGGCTAGCATTGTGCTGAGTGATGGGGAGCGGGAGGGCCATCCTACCCACCCAGAGAGACATCAATTACACTCTCTGGCCATATACAGTTTTAAAGGGGTGGCTGAGGTGGCCACCCCAGATACCATGCCAAAATTTCTGCCATGTCATTGGCCTCCCTCTTGCTGTCGGGTGGGTGTTTGCACCTTTAAGAGGACAGATGGAACAACTCTCACTGCAACCACCAACATCACCCCAGTTGTGCATTATCATAGGCAGTATGACTCCTTTGTACTGCTTTGCCTTAAAGGGAAGAGTGAATTAGCAATCGACAAGCGGCAGAACAACGGTGTAAATTCTCTCTACCCTTCCTCACATCACAATCCCCAAGCTCGCACTTTCTAATTTCGAGTATGTCTCTTCTTTACTGCTTTGCCTTTAAGGGGATAGTGAGTTGGTGATGGTTGGAACAACTGTTCAAACTCGCCCCCCCTACTCTACTTACATTGTCATATTGCCACCATGCCGAAACTCAGTGCCGCCCTTTTGCCATCCTTGGTAAAAGTTGCTCCTGGCCACAGATGTCTACGGCATCCCTGAGAATCGATTTTGCAATCTCCCAAAGATAAGGCCAATGCTTAAACCAAAGGTGGCCTACTGCGGTCCTGGAGGGCTGGAGTCCAGCAGAGTCATTTTCCTGCTGTAACCTGGTAATTTACTGCTGATTTGAATCAGATGTATTTGGGTAGGAAAATCACCAATCTGTGCTGGAGAGGGGTCTGGTGACTCCAGATCTCCAGGCCTTCATATCTGTTTATTTTTGAAGGTAACTTGGTGATATATTACACTATCATCTAGTAATTTCCCAACGTTCTCATTCAGCACAAAATTCTGTTTCAGTTGCAGAGATATTCAGTATTAAATATTCAAAATGAAAATGATTTTTTTTCTATCAGCTCAGTTTTCTAGGTTAATGTTTGATGCATGCACATGATACATATTGATATCACAAACGTTTGTTACGTTATTCAAGTTTAAAGACTGTAAACGTTTTGACAGCAAGACTTAGATTAACGACCAGTTATTTAGCACAGTTTAATAAACGATGACTTGTAAAAAATGACTGCTTTCTTTTATAGTCCCTTCTGGGTTCAGGTATAAACCAGGTAAGTGTAAATTACAAACTTCAAAGTACTAAACAGGTTCTAGACATTAACTGGGTAAGTATGAGGTACAAACCCCACAGTGCTGTGCATTTATTTTAGGTAAAAAGTACAGAGTAATTACACAGTATAAATTGATGTACTTGAATCTGGCCTGAAAAAAATAAGTGCCTAGTACTTGGAGGTGCTTCTGATTTACTTTCTTGCTTAAATGTGTGAAATTACATTGAAATTTAGTTTATGTTTACCCTTTATCAGCTTAATAGCTAGAACCTGTATGATGTAAGGTAGTTAGACTGTGTTGGTACCTATTATTACTGTATCTAAAATGATTACCACACACTTACTAAGTTAATATCTAGATGCTGTTTAGCACTTCAGTGTAATTTAGTTCAAATATCTCAGAACCTACCTTCATATTATGCAAAATTACCTTCAAAATAAACTTCAGAGTTTGTATCTCACACCTACCCGGTTAACACCTAGAACAGAGGTGCCCAATCCTGGTCCTGGAGATCTACCACCCTGCATAGTTTAGCTCCAGCCCTGAGCTAACAAACCTGGTCCAGGTAATAAAGACCTTCAGGAGCTTCTGAATATTAGAACCAGGTGTGTGCTGCATCTGAACTCTCCAGGGTGGCAGCTCTCCAGGACCTGGATTGAGCACCCCTGACCTAGAGTTTAAGGGACTGTAAAAGAAAGCATTACCCAGATCTCATGACTTTAGATTTGTAACTTTATTACATATTCAATAAAGCATATCACTGCTGTCATAAAAATATTCTTTACTTTAATGTACGTTACTGTGAAAAGATTTTACTCCAAGTAATTCTGGACCACTAATAGCAGAATTACTTGGATTCCAGACCACTAATAGATCCATTCATCATGAAATTTTCACACTATATAAAAGGCAAATTCAATGCTGGCAATTTCAAATGGTGTAAAAGTTGTGCGAAAATTATGAAAACTCTACATCATAATGGCTTAGGTTAAATTTCAGACATTGTCTTTAATAACATGTCCAAGTGTGTGTGTGTGCACTCACATGGTGGAGAGCGAGTGTAGAGTGTTGAAGGCTCCTGGGGCGATCGTGGAGATGCGGTTGTCATAGAGGGAGAGCAGACGGACAGAGCTGAGGCCAGTGAAGGTGGAGTTGTCCACACAGGCGATCTGGTTGCTCCTCAGCATCCTGCAGAAACCAACACAAAGCGTTACAGCCCCGCTCACTCGGACAGCTACCAGACAGGAACATGTGTGGAGGAGTGTATTCAGAAGAATGTGGAGGCTGGTGGGAAGCCCAAAGGGAATGTTGTTTGGACTCTTCATTTAACACTTAGTCTAGATTTATTATTGTCAGTTTTCTGTGTATTAGGTTTACATCACACAGTTACATAACTATATAAGTGATTACAATTGCAGGCTTGCCATTGAATTCAATAAGAACAACGACCATCAACAGTCACCAGCTCGTGGCTGTGCAAGAAAATTACAGTCCATTGTCTGTTGAGAACGTACTCTGATGTAACCATGTGTGAGCAAAGAGGAGATGGTCTAGAGCAGGGCTTCTGTCAGGCACATCTATATTGAACAAGAGAAGCTAATCACTGCCATCAGCTCAGCAGCATCCAGAGCTGCGCAATCCAACACTAAACATCTATAGGACCTACCTATAAGCTTACAGTGTGCTTTGGCTTTGCACAAAAATGTGGTGTGGATTGAAATTTTAGAATCTGCACATTCTCAACAGAATTTCTCTGCTTGTTTCAATGAGCTATGACTGGTGTCATGACTTGTGTTCATCCTTCCTATAACTTCAAAATCAGCGTCTTGTAGGTGATCCATTCTGAAACTTGTTTAAATCTTCCACCAGCAGAGATACAGTGTGAGCATGAAACACATCAGCATGTAGAATTGGAGATTTTTGTGTGCTATCGTGCTTTCTATCACTGTATAAAAGGTGCACAAGGCTTTCTTTATTGTTGGATGTACTGTGAACATGAGCTCATTCTGATCAGTAAGAACGTGTTACTGTTTTGGTTAACCAGAGTAATGAGAAAACACTGCTGATGTAACATATATTGAATTGAATTTATATTTGCATAAATGTGTTTTCTTGTTCAAAAAGTAAGTTTGTGAGACGATATTAGATACATTATTTATTTTGTGGCAATAGCACCATAGAGACGGCATAACTAGCCACATTTTTTGAGTCAGCCTTGGGATTAAGAGATCCCTGTCTGACAGTCTGGTGCACTGGTGTCTGTATTAAAGCCATCATACCAAGATCCCACTCTGTTAGAGTGAGATAGTGTAGGAGCTATGCCCACCAGGACTGTACATGGGTGTGTGTATGCGTGTGTTTGTATGAGAATGGGAGCTGAAGCCACCTGCTGCTGGACTGGGCAGCTGAGAGAGCAGGTAAAAACCTCAGTGACCACTCTGGCTCTGCTGTAGCTTCAGAACATCAGAAGCCAGCCAGCGGCTCTGCTCACTGCTGCAGCACAGAGATATGGATGTGTGTGTGTGTGTGTGTGTAGTGATCTGGGCACTGTCCTTTGTCAACTATGTACATCTGCTCCCTCACTATGAGCAGACAGAAGAGGATATGCTCTCTGTTCAGCTTTATACAGAATATGTGTGTGTGTTGGTGTGTGCGTGTGTGAATGCACGTTTTCGTATATTATAATGTGCATTTTTTTTATTAATGTAAGTTTTTTTTAGTTAATGCAAGTTTTATACACTGATCAGGCATAACATTATGACCACCTCCTTGTTTCTATGCTCATTGTCCATTTTATCAGCTCCACTTACTATATAGGTGCACTTTGTAGTTCTACAATTACAGACTGTAGTCCATCTGTTTCTCTGTGTACTTGGTTAGCCCCCTTTTACCCTGTTCTTCAGTGGTTAGGACCCCCATGGACCCTCACTGAGCAGGTACTATTTGGGTGGTGGATCATTCTCAGCACTGCAGTAACACTGATGTGGTGGTGGTGTGTTAGTGTGTGTTGTGCTGGTACGAGTGGATCAGACACAGTAGTAACTATAGAGTAAAAGGAAAAATGTTTTTAACTTACTTAACTGTAACAAGATTTTATTCTGATTAAGAATTTGTCATGAAATGTTTACACTGACAATATCAATCATATAAACAAATAAATATTTAAAATAATGGAGGTTTTGGTACAACAGCATCAATAGATGAGTCAATGTCCTGACACTGTATTAAAACAAGTATGCGTGTGTGTGTGTGTGTGTGTGTGTGTGGTGTGCCGTGAAAAGGCGAACGGCCAAAGTAATCAGGGTCTCTAAAAGGAGCCCAGCTACTCAAATGGGCTAAATGCAAACCAGAGGCTGCTGGGACGAAAACGTGAAAGCAGCAAATTTGGCATTAGACCTTGACAAGCAGGGACCTGAGACAGGCAAACTCAATTTGGGCGCCATGTTCCCGGGATTTAAAAGCCACGAAATTCAATACTGCCGGACCATGATTCCATTCATTTGCTCCTACGCACTCCTCTCTCTCCAATTTGGCTAATTATCCAGACAGCAGAGCTTAGCAAGGCCCTTTCTAACGACCAGACTCCAGAATAGGCATTGTGTTAGCATCTTTGATGGTGCAGTGGGCTTCTCATTACGACAGCTGCACTGCTTTTGCTTCGTGTGGTTGACTTCTCAATTGGATCTGATGAGTAAAGTTTGCTTTGCTGACCATACGGGCATCGTCATCCTACGGAAAGAATTTTCCAGACTGTATGTTTTACCGAACGCCTGGGTGAACAATTAGCGAAGTGCACAATCTGAGAATGTGTGTGTATGTGCGTGTGGGGAACAGTGACCACGAATGTGGTTTTACGCCCCCTTGTGTGTTTTTATACTGAAACCAAAGCCCGTTAGCTCCAGGTAAACAGATTAGATGCTTTTTCTTTTTTGGTTGCGTAGGCTAGATGGAGCGGCGGCCGTGCTGGGAAGTGAGAGGGGGACATTTTAACAAGGAAATGTTGAAGTGAATTTGCTTTGTACTCAGTAGATCTGTGAAAAAAGACATGTTTCTTTCAGCTGGTAGATCACTCAGATCACACCAGCAACTTTGTTAGCAACACTGTTCATTTATTTATTCAAACAAGGGGATGAATGTTGAAAGGCTGCTGTTTCTTATCAAATAATACAATGTGCAACCTGCTATCTTCCAGGCTATGCACTTCAAGCTAGTGGGCAAAGAACTACTGATTTATTTAGGATTAATAAAACTATGTTTATATGTTGTTAGCAGGATAGTTGGCATATAATTATTGTATTATTTTGGCTATTAATAAAATTATGTTTATGTTTTAGCATGTGGTTAGCAGGACAGTAGGTACAGATTATTGGGTTATTTTGGAGATTAATAAGACTATGGTTGTGTCTGGTTAGCAAGACAGTAGGTACAGATTATTGGATTATTTTGGAGATTAATAAAACTATGTTTATGTCTGTTTAGCAGGACAGTTGGTATAGAACTGTTGGTTTATTTCAGAAATGAATCTTTATGTCTCGTTTTCAGGACAGTTTTTAGAGATTTGGATATTATATTGGAGATCACACTTCATTTTGATAATCCTCTACAGATGATCTACAGAAACTCAAACTGTTCGTAAAGTTGGTTATCAACAGATTAGGTTCTGTGTTGGGTTTAGGATTAAGTTTAGGCTCTAGGTCGAGGTTAAAGTTAAGATTAGAATTAGATTTAGGGTTAGATTTAATATGATCTATTACATTCAGTGTAAAGTTTGGCAGGTATCTAATAGTTTACATCACAGTGTGTCATTAATTAACACATGATTTTTAGGAATGGGACTCACAGGGTCTTGAGGCCGGTCAGCCCTTTGAACATGCGACCCTGGACGGCCTGCAGCTTGTTTCCGGTCAGCAGCAGCTCCAGGACACCCCCGGCCCCGTCGAAAGCCCCCTCCCGGATGTCTCGCAGCTTGTTGTTACTCAGGTTTCTGGAACAAAACAAGAAGCGGAATTCATCCTTCTCAACTCCTACAGCCTCCTGACTCTGAAGATATCAACATGTTCATGTCAACCACTTTTATTTGTTTTACATTTGTTATTTGCCAAGTCTTCCCATGATTCCACGTCTACTAAGCCACATAAAGCCACGGGATTATTTTGCAAAATGGCAAAATTGAAGAGAACATCACTGGCTTATCACTAAATATGTTTAACATGTTCCTCATTCATAATCACAAGTTAGAATCTGTTTTAATGGCATCCTAAACACGTTTTTATGATTTCTGACCCTGTGCTATCTCTGCGGTGCTTCAGTAATTCACTAGCTGACGGTAATCTGTGCTTCAGTAAAACGTGAGGTGGGGGGACTTTTAGAGGTTGCCCATTTATAACTAGTCCGACAGTGCTAGATCGTAAGCAATTTCATGCCTGATAAATCACTGGTCCTCTTTTGCAAGCGACCACCACTTTCCCCATCTTCAGAGTGGGTGGCAAATATTGCCAGACAGTAAATCCCACTGTGCCCTCGCACCATTTCGGCAGAATATTCTATCGCTTTCTCTCTGCCTGACGCCTATGCAGCTCATCACGTATAAAGTTGTTGACATAAAGCTCACAGTCAGACGCCCCAAACGGCATCCTGCAACCCTCTGCTCTTAAAAAGGAAATGGGGGAATGAACGTGGTCGTACATTTTCCGCAGGTTTGGGAGCTTCTTAAAGGCCCCCGTGGCGTCCAGCGATGAGATCTCATTGTCGTTCAGGCGCCTGGAGAACAGAGAGAGAGAGAGAGAGAGAGAGAGAGAGAGAGAGAGAGAGAACAAATAGGGAGAGACAGAAAGAGAAAAAGACAGAGAGAGAGAGGAGTGATGCAAAGAGAGAAAAGAGAAAGAGGGGAAAAAAAAGAGTTAGAAAGAGAAAAGAGAGACAATGAGAGAAAAAGGAAGAGAGAGAGACAGAGAGGGAGAGAAAAGAAGAAAAGGAAGAAGGAAAAGAAGAAAAAAGAAAAAGAAAAAGAAAGAAAGCAAGACAGAGATAGAGAGAGAAAAAGAAAGACAATGAGAAAATTGGAGAGAGATACAGATAAAGAAAGAGAAGGAAAAGAAGAAAACAGAGAGAGAGAGAGAGAGAGAGAGAGAGAGAGAGGGAGAGGGGAAGAGAGAGAGAGAGGGGGAGAGAGAGAGAGAGGGAGAGAGAGAGAGGTTAATGGTTTACCAGTGAGAAGATGACTCATAACACAGGGTGGGAGGGAGATAAAGTCACACTAAAAGAGAGCGAGAGAGAGAGAGAGATGGAGTGAGCCTCACTGGAGCATGTAAGGGCTCGGAGACAAAGAGAGACGAGGCTCTATAGATTCCATGATTAGCATTCTGGCCCCACTAATCCAGCAGCAGTGTGGTGTTATGGGAGTGTGTGTTGGGGGAGTCTGTATCGCGTGTATGACACCAGCACTTGGCTGGGTTTTACACTGCTGAGGAAAAGACTCCCTAAGAGTTCCTCACAGAGGGACAGCATGATAGAGCGCAGCAGAGAGAAAGAAAGACAAGAACAAAAAGAGAACAAAAACTTCTCACAGAGGGAACGGAAGAGAAAAAGGCAGAAAAAAGAAAGACAAGAAGGGGAAGGGGCTTTCACATCATTAGAGCAGAATCGCAGTGCAGTGGGAGGCTGTATGAAGGGGGGATGTGAAGAACTGTGAGGACACCAAGCGAGCGGGGAAGATCTGCATACATGCAGAAGGAAAGGGCCTGCTGCTAACCGCTAGCTCCATACATATGCTAGCTCTGGACTGGGATGCCCACCACAGCTGCAGAGCCGCGAGAGAGAGAGATGCTGTGTTTTAAATGGAGAATTCTAGAGTGACATCAATTATTTCTAACTTGTAGCTCATTGAAACAAAGGTAGAGGTTCTTTCAGAAATGCAGTCTACACTTTCAATCAATACACCATTCAGGTTTATAAGTAGAAGAGGAGATATTTTATTGTATTCTGAATTTGTTAAAAAGTAAAAAACATCTTTTATGCTTAAAGTCGAATGCAAAATTTAAACACCCCAGGTTCTAAAGAAATGCTCCCCCCTTTCACTCAAAATGTATCATTTTAAATGTGTCAGTTTAACAAATTGGATAAAAATAAAACATACTTTTGCACAGGCCATATTTCTTCCCCAGTATGTTAAAGTCAGCAAATAAACAGTAATTGTACACTAACATGAGCCAAAGTGTTTTCTCTCTTGAGGATGTGTTAACTTATTTTCATTTGGAAGATCAACAAAACATGTAATTTGACCAGGGGTGGCCAAACTTGTCGACCAAAAGGGGTGACCCAATTTGTTGACGCTGAAACAAAATGAAAAAATGAGACGTGAAGATTTGAACCTGTCAACACAGAATGTAAACTGAAACAGAATCTCTTCCATAACTATGTAATTAAATGCGTAATCATATAATGATATTTGAAAAGTACAGCAAAACAAAAGCTAACAACTTGAATTCAAAGGGTTGATACCCATCTACTTAAAATGTATAAAATATAATGTTGCATATTATAGCAGCTGCAGCTGCATGTAGTGGAGGGGCGGAGCCATCATAGGCCTCTGCAGTATGATGCACCACCTGAAACCACTACATCATAGAGTCCTTCAACTTTTTTTTTGAATTTACAGTTGGCCGCTGTTTGTATAAAGGCTATTCAATGTGTTACCACTCAGTAATTTGTCATTGCCATTTTGTGTAAAACTTTAGCATTCAGTTTGAGACAATGCTACCCTACACAAATTCAGACACAAGACATAAGACACAAGAAGAAGTGGGGGAGAGGACAGCGAGGGAGACAGGGAGGGCGAAGTGTGTGAGTGTGATGGATGAGCGGAGCTGATGGCACTGCGGAGGGAGAGTGACGTGTCCTCTACACGTGAGCAGAAGGGCGAGCGGTGTCTGGGGAACAGGCCTACAGCAGCGCGAGGCCAAAAGCCTGGGAAAAGCCTGTGGCATTCATTCACCACCGCTCAGCAGGAGACTGGAGGCTGGTGAGAGAGGAGGACATGCACAAGCGGGCCAGAGAGAGGGATGGGCAGGAAGAGAGAGGAGGAAGAGAATGGATGGAAGCTGAAGAAGGATAAGAAGTAAGAGCAGAGCTGGATTTGTTTAAGTGGAGGAGGTTGTAAGTGATGACTGGTCAGTTCTTATGTGATAAAGTACATGTTTAAATTCCTCATATTACCACATAAAGACAACTGAAAGGCCATTCACTCAATAACAATAACAACACAGCGCATGGCAAGCATTGCAGCGAGAACGAAACAGAAAACAAGACACTGGAAAGGTGAGGAGACTGTGCACTTAATTTTGATTGTGGGGTGAGGCTCAATTTTAGTGGTATAATAGCCAAAGTGAACTGTTGCTATTAGCATAAATTGTTATTAGACTACAATGATGTCAGTTGGAACAGGACAACTTTTACTGTGTTCAGGTCATTCGCACCACAATTATAACTGTCAGACCTAAAAATCTACCTATAGTCTTATGCAAAAAGTTTAATAATTCAACATATTGAAAAAAGAACATAAAATGTTGTCTTTGGAAAAGTTATACTTTTCTGTTTTATTTTTTTTTAAATATGTTAATTGAAATTGCGCACTAAAAATTGCAGAAAATGTTCCTTGAAGAGGATGTGCTAACTTTTTTTTCTCTTAGAAAATCAACAAAACATAATGTAATACATGGGTGTTCAGTCTTTTGCATATGACTGTACTTTGCAGATTCATACTGGAATAAAATCATGGATCTCATATGTAATCACTTTAATTACAGCACCTTCCCAGGTAAAACTAATCCACCTGAAATAAGGCTAAAGATGAATTAACTCTGTACTGTGTTAGGACAGGTGAAGAAGTATGTAGTATGGTGAGCATTTGAGACAGTGTATGCATGCTTTGTATATGTGTATGGCTGTATATGCTATATGTCCAAAAGTTTGTAGAAACTAATGTTTCTTCTAAAACCCAGAGCACTCCAACTCATCCCAAAAGTAGCAATAGAGGTTCATCTGCTTCACAAGCTAATGCTAGGGTGCTTTATACCCCTCTGAGGGACAGTTGACACTGGGCATTGGCTCATGTACAGCTGCACCAGAGCGTCCCATTCTATTGGCAATGCCATACTATGGAGATTAAGCTTTGTGCTGAATGCCTGTTCAGCAATTGGGACATACATATGTGTATGTGTAGGATTGTGTAAGCTAAATAAATATTATGTAGGCATTGTTATTGTGTATATGTGCTCTCTTACAGGTCAGTTGTGTGTTCAGGCAGGTGAGGAGGGATGCTGGTCAGTTTGAGGTTGGAGCAGTCCACCACCGTCCCCTCACAGCGACAACGCTCAGGACACACCAGGTCCTGGAAACACTCGCCGGTCAGGCGGCTGCGGTAGTCTTCCGAACCTGGCCACCACAGGGAGAGACAGAGAGAGAGAGACAGAGAGAGAGAGAGAGAGAGCAAAAGACTGTCAAAACAGCTTATTTACACATATATTTAAGGAAATATATGTGTAAACACTGCACCACACTAACAAATTGCTTCCCCCCCACATACATAAACCGGCACACAAACACAAACGCCCACTCATGCCTGCTCCTAAACAAACATTCATCTTCTGAAGGGTGGCTGCATGTGCAGATAAAGCAGCCTGAACAGCAGGAGGTCACTTTTGCTGGAGGTCTGCTCCAGAGATGTGTGTTTTGACAGGAAAACACAGGCGGTTTCTGGGGAGCAGTAGGATCTGGCTCTGCACGATATATCTGCTTCCCATCACGGACGTCTCTCCACGGGCACTGTTTATCTTACTCCACGCCTCTGTTTCACTGCCCTACAGGCTCACAGACCAGGAGCCCCCCCCACACGTTACTGTTTAAAAGTCTGGAATCAATGTTTTCGATCATATAAAAGCAATTTCGTATGTATGAGTACTCTACTACTACAAATAATTTGCAGAAAACTCCCAAAAGAGGTGTAGATTCCAAAACATGCATACACACTGTTAACATAGAGCACCACCCTTATGAAGCACCAAAGGCCACTGGAGTGTTAGCAGCACCCCCTGGTGGAGAATCTTCAGCCTGCTAAACATGAGTGAGTGAATTACAAGCCAGGTCCAGTCGATGCTACGTATCTCAATGTTATCATGCTGTATAATTTACTTAATTAATATCCAGAATCCCACATATTTGCAAAGCGTCAATCAATATGTTTTAAACAATTTGAATATGAAAATTTTTGATGATGTTCAAGATGACTAACAGAGCTGTAGGTTATCCCACAATAAGTGAGAAAGCTGTGTAGTCTTATGAATGAAGTTATAGGAAAGTTAATACCAAAACACAAAGAAAATCTGCAGATAACTTGATAAGAAATTACTAAAAGTTATTACCGTATATTATTTGTTCGTTAATAACTTTGTGCTGTTTCCAAAAAACTTTAGTATTGTATGTATGTATAATATTGAATGAACAGTCTAAATATGCATTTTGTAATCTTGTTTATAAAATTTCAATCTACATTGATTAACTTATTCTTGAAAAAATTAGCAAAAATGAAAACAAGTGATTCCAAACTTTTGAACAGTAGCGTAGCTCTTTTCATAGCAAGTGACTGATGGACACAGTAGATACTTTCATCGCCGTTTCCGCTGCTCCGAAATCGACTCGTTCCTCTTCAAGGGGTGGCTGCCACGCGCTATCCCAGAATGCCATGCTGCGTGCGAGTGTGTCCAACGGTCCCTGGTGCTTGACGGAACCATGTGAGGCGAGTGTAGGCGGCGGCACATGGTTAGATCAAGCACAAGAGACAGCTGCACCAGGGGCCGGGGGCCGGGGTGGGCCCGGGGCCAGAGTGGAGGAGCGGAGTGGAGCGGAGAGAGGCAGGGAGAGAGGAGGAGGAGGAGGAGGAGGAGCAGCCAGGAGGAGGAACAGAGCAGGAAGCTGCCCGGAAAAAGCCGGGCCACCATGCATGAGGGTGGGCAGCCCCGCCACTTTCTCCCATTGTGCTGTTATCGGTACAACAGCTCAACCCCCATAACACAAGCGCACAGACGGACAGACAGACAGACAGGACAGATACACGGACAGTAAGACACTGCACAGGAGAAAAGGAGTGGAGCAAAGCCCTCTGCTACTGTGCACTTGTCGGGATGTGGGGTCAAACATATGTCTCATAGGTATTATGCATTTCATTGCTGTCAGAAGAACAAATCTAATCTCCAAAAGGAGTTATTTTATATTAGTTTATTTTATATATTTTGTATTATATATAAGTAAAACATTCTTGACTTAAAGGGACCTCCTCCACCACAATAGTCTGTAAAGCGAGATTTTCCTGTTTAAAGTCTAGAAACCCCCCCTTCTGATGATGTATCTTGAAGGTGGAAGGAACTCTTAAAAACCACAACTGCTTTGGGGCAGATAATTGAGAATTTTTCCCCCACTAGCTGGCTAATGCAGAAGGATACCGAATAGCTAACAGGACGGTTATGGCTGTACTCATTAGCCTCTTCAACATTGGTTATGCTAGTGGTCAGGATTTCAGGGTTTGTGTAATGCATGCTGGGTATTGTAGTGAGAGAATGTCAATTTGATTAAATCAAAAAGAAGAGAGAACCAGCAATAGAAGTAATGCTGCACTACAGAATATCACATAACATACTAAATGCGGTTTTAGGCCAGAATGACCCTTTAATATCAGTTAATGTAGAAATGTTTGCAATTCAAAATGTATATTAATCCTCTGCAAGAGGTAAAAAGGAAAAAAATGATGTGGCATCACAACATTTTCTTATGACAGCAATAATTTTCATAATTTGAGGCCTACACCTAAACCTTACCCTTAGCTTAACTTCAGTAATCAAAAGTAAATGGTTTTGACATTTTAGTTTTAAACAAATGAAACATGAACCTTTTGTAAAAAAGCACTCTGCATTGTCGGGACCATTGTGTTGCTCCTGACCTTGTTGGTTAGCTCTGTTTTTCTCTGGTTTTCTTACATAGTCAGGGCATTTTTAACCAAAACCAAACACACACAGACACAGTGGGTTTCAGCAGTGTTTGGCGGCCGTGGGAGCAGCCAGCGTGTGTTCGGGCTCTCCTGCTGTGCTTGTTACTGTGTTGTTGTACGGACATAGGCAGGGCTGTAATTAGGGAAATCCATGGGTTAATATCAAAGCAAGCAGCGGCCGCACACTTCACGAGGCCGAGCAGCCTGAAGGCCCCCCGCAAGCTAACACTCACTGACTCCTTAGTTATGGCTAGTTCATCATAACAGCGATCCGCGGATCCTGATGCTCTGTTTCAATGCATTCTGCTGGATTTGTATTGCAGCGTGCCTCCTGGTGATGTTCCCATGAGCACTCTGAAGCCTGGCAGTGTGTATGTAGAACTGCTCCAGGCCTGAGGATGCCACACAGCTCCCTCTCCAAGGAGAATAAACACACACTCGTCACACGCGCAGAATACTAACTGTATGTACCTAACACGAGCAAACTTAAATATGGCATTTTCTGCAAATTTTAGTGCACAATTTCTGTTTATTGCTGATTTCAACATGGTTAAACAATAAAAACATAACATTCAAAATGTGCTATAACCTTTGCACAGGCCACATCGTAGGTTTTTTACCAATATATGTAATTCAGCATCTTTACACCAATTGTGCATTAAAGTGTGCAGAAATGTGTTCTCCGTAGAGGATGTGTTAACTTAGTTACACTTAGAATATCAACAAATGTGTGATTTGACCAAGGGTGTTCAAACTTTTGCATACAACTGTAGGTGCACTTTGTAGGTTTACAATTACTGACTATAGCCTGAAAATATAACTGGTAACTTTTTTAGGAACTTACTTTTTTGTGTACATTTACTGGCCACTTTATTGGAAACACCTTCTCAGTAATCCTTGTAGGTTTACAGTTAGAGAATATAGCTCATCTTTTTCAGTGCACTTGGCTTGGCCTATCACAATTATTAAATTTTAGCTGATGATTAATTGCCATATAAATAATTGGGTAACATTTTATTTGTATAGTCCACTATAGATGCTTTGTAGATACTTAATTTACTTAATTTTCAAGTTACATTCCACTAAATATCTACTAAATTGACCGTAATTTTCTTTAACTCTAAACCTGGCTCTAGTCCTAACCCTAACCTTAACCTCAACGCAAACCTAAACCCAACCCTCACCCTGGTCCTAGCCCTAGCCCTAACCCCACCACTGTTCAGAATCACCAGAGTTTCAACAGATAGTTTATTAACACTTTAAACATCTGTAGACAATCTATAGGGGACTGTAGTGAACTATCCAAAAAAGTGAGACTAATAATTGTAATGAACCATTAAAGTTTTGTTTGTTCACTGTAAGAATTATTAGAGTACAAGCCTAAAGTGGCTTGGCCAAATATGTTTAGTTGGTGGTCTTTTCTCAATGCAGTGATACTAAGATGAGTAAGAGCTAAGCAACACCGCTCAAACCAGCACAACACTCACTATCATGCCACTACCATGTTGTGTTGAGAATACAAATAACATCTGGTCTACAGTGTTCCCTTTCCATGAATGAACAATGTAGAGGGTGCTGATAAATAGTGCAGCTATATGTGGTTATTGTTTCTGATATATTGTCCAGTGAGCGTATGTAGAGTGTAGGTGTACCTAATAAACTGTTAATTCATTCAGTATTGATTGGCTTAGCTCTGTTCGTGAGCCCGCCACTGTGCTACAGTAGTGATCTCTATGTGGGGTGTGCACTGTTAGCCTGTTAGCCTTTCATCTTATCCTTGAACGCACAAGTAGGTTTTACCGAATGTGTGCATGCTGTTGGGGTCTGTGAACCCTGAAAATCGTTCTCGTGTGTGAGGGGGACTCTACCTGTGCAGCGGAACTTCTTGCCCTTGATCTGGCTGATGCGCTTGTTGGCTAGGCGTCGAGGGTGACTGCAGCGTGCCCCGCTGGTCTCGATAGGATTATCAAACAGGTAGTCAGCCAGCCACTTCAGGTGGCAGTCACACATGAAGGGATTCTGAGCAAGGTGCCTGAAGAGGTCAGCAGATCAGGTGAAGGAGAAAGAAAAAAAGTGAAATGTGGAATGGAGAGGTAGTGATGTACAGTATACTGTACCTGTCATATCAAAAGCTCACACCTGAAGTTTGTTTTAGTTTTTATTTTTGAAAACAACAGCTTAACCCTATAAGATATGGTACAAAATGACTTAGAATGAAATCTTGTCATATTAAAGCTACACTATGTTCATTTTAGGGTTTTGGAGACCTCTCTTGTGGAAATGTGTAATTGCAGGCCATATGTGGAATCAAAGAGAACTCTACTCTGATCTACTACTGTCATCATATCTTCATCAGCATAATGTTGATTCTGCATTTGAGACTCAAACATTGAGCTGGAGCTGCTTTGTGAGTCTGGTGTGTGATGTTAATATGTAAACATGCATAACATGATCTGAAAAACTCCCGCAAAATCCGTCACGGCACCACTGACTTTTAAAATATTATTTCAGGCTTTACAGGGTGACTTGCAGAGTGACCATATTTTATGTTCAATTTTAACGAAAAAAACTTACCTTTTTTTAATGTGAAGATTTCATGTACATTAAAGTTAAGAAAGTTTTTTTCTTCTATAAAGTTCTGCTAAGATACAAAGTTTTACTATAGGTGATTTCCAGGCCCCTACTCTAAACGTATTAGTGTTTTCCCTACTCACAAACCACTTTAACACAGAAAGGGCTTGTTAATAAGCTGATTGTTTAGATTAAGTGTGTCAGAGTAGGGAGAACAACAATGCAGTGCAGGGGTTGGGAACCACTGCTACAGGGCATTACAGACGATAATAAATCAATTAATGCAAGTTAGTGCGAGAGGGAGTCATTTCAGGTCCAAACTTCTTCAACTACTTAGAGTGTAAAGTTTTGGCTCTGATAAATGCCCCAGTATTTCAACAGCAAAATCATGAGTGGGGTATTAATAGCGTAATTATTTGCCACTCTATTAGCAGCTAATTAACTTTCCTGATTAAAAAAAAACAAGGTGACCAAGTGATTGCAGGGTGGGAAATGTGTAGGTAAAATTTGATAAGCAGTGGTTGCTTAGAGACTGGAGTGTGCTGAAGTGGACCGAGGCGTGCATTTGTGTGTGTGTGTGTGTGTGAGAGAGAGAGAAAGAGAGAGAGAGAGACAACTTACAGGGTCTTGATGGAGCGCAGCGGTGTAAACAGGCCTTTGCTGATGGTCTGGAGCTTGTTGTCATAGAGAGAAAGCAGATTAAGGCTCTGCAGGTCTTTGAAGGTGTTCACCCTCAGACAGTTGATTTTGTTGGCGTTGAGCAGCCTGGGTGGGCAAAAAGAGGATTTAGCCTTCAAACAACAATAAACAGTGAACTGTGTGGAGTCTGGATACATTATATCAATGGATCCTACATTCCAATCTGTCATCATACATTGTATTCTCTTCAGAGTTGGGTTATGAAGTGCCAGTCAAAAGTTTGGACACATGTAATCTAATGTGTTTTTCTTAATCTCAAAGGCATTTTGATTTAAACACTTAACCTTTATGCTTACATATTTGAAACTTGCTTCTAAACAAATACAAAAAGTGAAGTTTGCTTTATTTAACTCTATTTTTAGATAATTCCTTTGGATGCACTGAGGTCCAGATCTGGAGATCAGTAGATAGAGAGTTGCTGCCCATGCTGAGTGAAACAGTCCAGTCTTTGAGTCAGTCTAGCACCTCCAAGGCCTCTTTTTCCTGACTTTTTCCCCCAGTCTTTCACAACTTTAAGGACGCAAACATTTTATTTTTCCTTTGCCTGACTGAAAAGCGCGCCACTCACTCTGACTGGTTTTATGTCTCACTTCTGCGCCTTGAACAGCATCAGAAATGCTGTAAATTCATGATGGCGTCTCCTTCCTGATCCAGATGCCATCAGAATGCTGAACAGGACTTAGAAATGCACAACCCTGTGTCATAAGTTATTTCCGTAAACATCAGAAAATCACAGGCAATGTTTTGGTTTGCTGAGATTTTAATAATGCAAAAAACACAGTGTTTTCACCTTTAGTCACAGCATTTGATTTCAAACATATAGTGGGCAATATTGCTTAGATGAGAAACAGTACAGCCCAGTACAATCAGAAATCTTTGGATTGTTGTTTGCATGTTTGTCTTTGTAGTTTTAAGCCACATGGACCTCATTTGTAACTCATTCACTCACACTTTTCAGGCTAAAGGTTCTCCACAAGGGGAGCTCTTAGCACTTAAATAGCTTTTTTGTGCATCATTGAAAAGAAACGGCCAATTTTTAGCATAAGTCAGAAATGCTAGCTGGCACATGGCTAGCAAACACACCTTTGAACAATTCTACACACGTAAAATCATATTTTTTTTTCAGTAAAACACAAAAAAGCCTCAATTGCAGAAAATGTGTTTCTATAGTGACAATTAATAAGGTCACACAATGATTTTCAGACTTTGGCATACATTTAATTCAAAACAATGGGATCTAACTGCTCACCATGTGGCCATGAGGGACAGGGATGCAGTCTCACTTCCTGCTCTAAAATGCAGGGGTGAGGCTGAAGTAAGGCTCTAAGGACTAAAACTCTTTGTACTTTGGATTTGACATGAAAAGGTTTTAAGTTAAAAATTAAACTCATGATAAATCTAAATATTTCAACTTCACTTTAAAAAATAAATAAAAAATAAAAATATAAAAAAGTAGTATTTTCACTAGTTGAAATTTAGGGGTTAGGGTTTGAGACAGCCACCTCCCAACATGAAGTACCCTATAAATGATGTACGTTTTTGTAAATACTTTCTTAATTAATGCAATGAGTATAAATAGATGATAACACAGTCCTTGTAAATGTCAAAGGTCTGAATACTTAATTTTATGAGTACTACACATAGTTTAGTACATGAGTGAGGCTACATTCCTGTTTTCCCTTCTTTTATCCTTTTCTAATGCAAGAGACATTCAATGTTGCACTAGAAAAGGTGATACATAGCATGTCTATACTTGATTCAGATGTGTATGATTAAAATATTGCGCAATCTTGTCTTTGGCAATAGTTGCGCTAATGTCATTTATTTCTTCAAATCAAATGAAATGATGTACACACGTGAATCAACTAAATTCAGTTCATTTTTTTCAGTGTGCTGCCACTGCTGTATGATGATGGCCTTGAGAAATGTTTACTCGTTCACCATACTTCAGCTAGAGTGACCACAGCGGAAAAAGGCACCAGGAGTGTAGTGCAAGAGTGGTGCTTCATATCAATGGCTCTTTGCATTCTTGCTTTCTTTTTGATGCCCTGGAGTAGTACAGTGCTGTTCTGGAGTTGGCCCTCCTCTTCCTCGTCCCCACCCTGCCACCTCTGTGTCTCTCTTGCTTAGCTCGCCTGACAATTGACTAACGCAGGGCCTGTGCTTAATTACTGAAAGCCATTCTAATGAGCTTTTGTCTCGGAGCGAGCGCACGCATCGTTAGCCTGCTCACAGGGAGAACTAATTAGGTTTGGGGATTTCAAAAAAGAGGCAAAACAAAGGAACCCCATTCACAACAAAGTGGCTCAAAAACAACATCCACGAAGGCTTGTGGCTGCCTTTCGGAATGCTGTTAAGGCGTTCCTTCGGAAGGGCACTTACTAACTAAACCCATTAGAGGGAGAAAACTGTAATTGGTAAAAACATAGGTAATTTGACTCATTAAGGCAGTTGACAAGGCAAACGTTGGAAAGTGCAGTGCTGTGCCACCGGAGCCAGCACGCTTTAGGCCCGATAATAACTTGCTGACGTGCGCTTGCTCGGCTTGATTCGGATCCATTGACGTGGGAGCGAGGAAGCTGCCGGACTATCAAAATTTCCCCATCTCCACAAATCATTAGAGGCAGCACAAACAGGCCCATTAAAGCCCACAGATTTCCTCAAATTAGACCACTAAACACAGGCATTATGTTTGAGCAATGTTTCTGTGTCTACATCAATATAACTAGGTGTGAGAGATATGCCTCGTAATCACGTCCAATTTAAATGCTAATGATGTTAGGCACACCCCTGAAAAAGAGAGAAGAAAACAGAGAGAAGTCTTGCTACGTCTTCCTCCAACGAGTCGTCTAAATGGTCCATTTGAGAGCTGGAAGAGGTTTCGGGCTTCAAGATGCTCTTTTCTTTTTGTTCTTTTTTGCTTGAGTTCTTTTAATGGGGAAAGGTGGGAGAAATGAAATAGCTCTTCCTCCAGTGGTGAGCATGCGTCAGTACACACACAAACACGCAAACACACACACACATTTACAGAGGGAACAGTACTCACAGCAGTTGCAGGGAGACCAGGCCATCAAACAGCCCCTTGGGTATCTCTGCAATTTTGTTTCCATACAGGACCCTGCAGGCAGGAACAGATGCAGCCCAAAGAAAGGGCAGTAAATCACGTCAATACGATCACTGAGTTTGTGTGTGCGTGTGTACACTGCTCATCAAAGGTTTGGGTACACCTTGCCTTGTACAGAAGTTAGATTTTTGCGTACTTTTCACATTTTAAAATTAAATAACAAAAAACATCTGCAAATCGTTGCTTACCATAAAGCAACTACTTAACACAGTGTGTCCCCTAAACCTTTTTCAGGCCTTGTCTACATTTATTATAAAGATGTACAATTGTGTGATTAAGAGTTTGTTTACAGTCAGTTTATATCAGAAGAATTCATGTGCGAGTGAATGTTTTATAGTGTTTTAAAATAGCCCAAAGAGTAGCTTTCACATATTCTATAGAAATGCATAAGAATATTGTTAATAGTTCCTTAAATCAGCAATAAATACTGTTTAGATTATGAAGTCCATAAGAAAGCCCCAACAGATTGATTATTAGAGATTGAAGAATGCTATAAGAATTTGAGTGCTTATGTCTGAAAAAATCTAGAAGAGAGGACTCTTGATGATTTTACGCTTCAGTAAAACAGCAAAAAGTTTCACTTTTTTTATTATTTATTGTACATCAACTTTCAATTCAACCACCCAAAGCTAACATTTCAGTTTGCAGCAGAACTTTGTTTCTATAACGACCTAAAAATTCTGTGATTAAAACCTGCTGTGACAAGAAGAGCTACATGCTGCTCCTCCGTCACAAACCAGCTCTCCGCACACACCGCTATATCACACTACTACAGCAACAAACAGATGTGTACTGGATTTTCTGAATTTATTGCATCTTTACATTTGATTGAGCAGATAATTTAACAGATAATAGACATTTTTTACTCCAAAACAGCTTTTTACTCAAAGCTGTGGGCATATCGCAAAAATGTTGGAAAGCTATTTCTTCTCATCTAAGCTGGGCAACGTTTGTAGGTAGAGCGCTGTGAAGCTTTGGGCACATCCTGCAACGTTCATCACGGACTATATTTTGCCTTAACAATTACTTGACAGTTGTTGTTGTCAAGCTACTGTTAAAAGCACTCGCTTTTTGCCTAAAGTAGGTTTAAATAGCTGGGAGGTTTGAGTGCTGATGAGACAGCACTGTCACCAAGATAGCATTCTCACTTATGCTGACACAAATATTCATGTATAAATACAACCTAGTCAGTATTTACTGTGTTAAGTCATTGCAAACTGACAAAAGAAAAAAATGCCCATTTCAGAGAATACATTTTGAAAAGCTAGATGTCCCCAAACTTTTGATGAATGAATGTATTTATTTGATCTGTTTTCAGCTCATAATTTTTGTGGCCTTTGTCCCCACAGTGTGAATACTCCAGTACTTCTTCAACCTAATCTTTATTGGAGCTGTCAAAATAAGAGTCCACATTTAAATATTCATTAAATCCGGTGACAAAAAAGCACATTCAATTATAGAACATGTAAATCTGAATGGTTAAAGCTTGTACTGTGACTCCTTGTACACTGCAGGCCAATTAGTGAACAACATTATCACACATAAGTACCAAATGGAGAAAAGAGCACTGACTATGAACAAAATAATAATGATTTATATAGAATTTTCATGAACTAATTATTTAGCCTTTAACTGCAGTTGCATGGTGTTTAAAATTGTATGGAGATTTTTGCAAACATACAATGGATTTTAACAATCCAGTAACTCTGAATAAGTGTTACAAGCTGAATAATGCAAATGACCAGAAATATGTTGTGTAAAGTGACCAAATGATCTGCTTCAGATGCTTTGTAGTACAGTAAGTAGTACAGTAAGCTAATAATCATGTAATATTTATAAGGTAGCGTGGCTAAGCTGCTTGGCTACGCTGCTACATAGCCATTGAGCGCAGCTATATATCCTATTACACTTATGTGCTTAAATGACATGTTTTGTTGATTTTCTAAGTGAAACTAAGTTAATACATTGTCTACAGAGAAGACACTTCTACACATTTTAATGCACAATTACTGTTTATTTGCTGAATTTAGCATAAAAAAGATCATATGTGGTTATGGCACAAAGTTATGTTATGGGACATTGTATATTTTACATTTTATTTTTTCCAGTATGTTGAACTCAGCAAATAAATAGAAATGGTGCCTTAAAATTAGCAGAAAAATGCCATATTTGAGTTCGTTCCCTGTAGAGGAACTTGTTTTCACTTAGAAAACACAACATGTAATTTAACCAGGGGTGTACAACCTTTGCATATGACTGTACCTATTCATCTTTTTTGTAAAATAAGCAGAATTTGTAATCATTTATTTAACATTGAAATATATTTGTACATTTGACAAACAAATGGGGTAAAATCAAATCAGATTTGATTTCTGATCCCACCAAACAGCCCTAATCTTCATCTTCTGAATATGTACCTCATGGGTTGATAGGCACAGACAATAATTTCCACCCGTTCCCCTGTACTTACAAAAGAACAAAAAACCTATTTACTCAAAACACTCAAGATGAAGCACCTGCCCATTGCCTTCTCTTATAAGTGTGTTTTGACTTAACAGGTTTTCTGTTCTTTTCTAAGTGAAGGGAAATGATTGTCTGTGGTAATCAACCATATGCTGCAGATGCAGCAGACAGAGATTAGGTTGAAAGAATGCTGGATTATTCCTTTATTATGAGTGTGCCTGCCATCTCATGTGCCCTATTGTTCTGTTGCCATTGCGTGTGAGTGGCTCTTTAATTGCAGCATGTGTAAATGAGCTGAGTGCTGCGAGGCTGAGGCCTGTCATTGGCCCAGCTGTGCGGGCTGGGCGCAGGGAGATGGATCTAATGGAATTAATATGCACAGGACGGAGCTACTGTCTCTTTCAGAAATGTTCAGGTGATGTAAATGAAAGCCTTCTTGTGTGTTCACACCACAGCAGATGTCAGCACACATACAAACGCACACATGCATAGATGGAGACTATTTGTACTGTGTGTTGCCGCTGTTGTGTCACCCTTCACGCTAATTTATTTCTCTCAGCTGACAGCTGTCGCGTCACTGTCAGCCTCCAGCGCCGCGGGTTAATCCAGAGCCAAAACTGCAGCAGCGCGTTTCTGACCAAAGGCACTGATTATGAAGTGTTGAAGTGTGAAAAAGAACATGATTTTGATTCGTGCAGGTGAGTGGGTGTCAGTGGGTTTGTGTATGAAAGTGCAGTACCGGTCAAAAGTTTGGATATACCTGCTTATTTTTACTAGTTTTCACCTTTTAGAATAAGAGTGAAACTTTAAATCGATACAGATGAGACTACACAAAGTAACAAATCAGATCAAATCCATCTTCTATTTTAGATTCTTGAAAGTAGTTGCACTTTGCCTTGCTTATACACTCTTGGTATTCACTCAAGCAGCTTCATGAGGAGCCACCTGAGATGCTTTTCTAATAGGACTGAAGAACATACATATAAATTTAAACTTTTTGTATTGAAAACAAAAGCATCAACTTCACCATTTAGAAATACATCTCAGGCATTTCAGCATAAGTGTTTAGGCCTAATCAGGTGTGTCCAAACTTTTCACTGGGACCGTATTTGTGTGTGTATGTGTGTGTTTATTACTGACACACACACTTACAGTGAGGTGAGGGAACGGAGGCCACTGAAGGCATCATCTGCGATATCTGAGATTTGATTCTTACTCAGATCTCTGAAAAAAACACAGATGGTACAAACATTAGAGACATGCACTTAAAACCATGCTATTTAAATGGTTAATTCACATTTTTCGAATGTAAACACAAGCTTTCTCAGTACTTCTGTACAAAGTGACTCATTGGGTGACGTGTAGCAGCTTAGTTTTGCATGGCCTGAATAAGTGAATACTGAAATATACTAGTATATATACTCATATACTGACAACAGGAAACTTGTTTAGAGCTACAGAACATGCCTGCACTGACGTAGTTTACTTGCTTAAATTGTCTGGACTGTGTAGTAAGCTGTTAGCTAAAATAAATAAATACTGTTGGTATTTAAGATCAACAGTGTCAAATTTATATTCCAAATCTTTCTAATAAACTCTCAAATGTGGTGCAATCCATGTGGTGCTGTTCTAGTAGCTGGTAGTAAGCTACTGCAGTGTAGAGAAATGGGGGGATGGGTTGGGTTTGGAAACAGCATAACAATAATATATAAACAAATTTAACAATATTTTCTTCAACAAAGATTATTTTTTGTGCTTTAAGTTAAGGGATACTCAGAAATATATCTATTGGAATACCAACAGAAATGTCTCTTTTTGATAGCATGTTATCCTTCTTCAAAAATCTTAAGTTTATGAATAGATAAAATTTGATAGATTAGACAGATAAAAACAACAATGCCTAGTATCAGTACATTCAAATGAATTGAGAATGAGCGTGCAATTGAGGTAGGTAGAACATGAAGACAGTGACTGAACCTGAGAACAGACCTGATGGATCTGCAGTGTGCTTAGAGCAGAACTTTGCATGGCTCTTCATGAACGAGCTTTGAATGGTTGTAATAATGTTTCTGGAAACAGAGGCTAATACTCACATCCTCTTCAGCTTCTTATATGGAGAGAAAGCTCCTGGCGGAATGCTCTTAATCAGGTTTTGCTCCAGACGACTGCAGAAGAAACAAGATAATATGTTACATGCAGCCGTTACACACTGTCCAACAAAACTAAATCAACATCATGTTCATGTACAGCGATACACAGAGTACAGCACGTGTTATCAGAGTAAACTCTCTCCGCGCTCCATCGCAATCTGTGTATGTGTGTTTACGCCTGTGTGTACATGCGTGAGTGTGTGTGTGTGTGTGTGTGTGTGTGTGTGTGTGGTGGCGTGTTGCCCCGGTGATGTGGAGCATGGCAAGGCCACAGTAAGTCATGGACAGAGTCATTAGTCTGTGTGAGAAATGGGTCCGGCTGGAGCGCTCGCTGCCCCTCCCTCCCTTCCCCTGACCACCACTGTCCCTTTCACTCTCTGCAATCCATCCTCGCCACTGGAGAGATGACTGCATAGAGACACACACACACCAGGCTGAACACACACAAACACACACATGCATGCTGAGTGTTTTGAATTTCTGTCCTAATCCAATAAAAGATGTGGAAATATGAGCACTGCAGATTAATATTGTACAATTATTAATCATTATTCAGTTTTTGTTATCATACACTTCTGTAGAAGGTGTATAGTGATGTCAGCTCTCTGTGCATGTAAGGAAGGGACTGTTGAACTTGGCACATCAGTTCAGGTTCAGATTTGGCAGGTGGCCACGCTGCGCACCTTTACTCTAATAAACAGCACAGTTTTTAGTTCAGCTGTAGCTTCATCTCCCTCATCACTCGCCATCTTGGCTACAAAAGGGACTTCAAGCTTTGACGGCTTTAGGGAACACATTGTTAATGTTAATGTAAAGCAGCAGGAATCATTATTTTTTTTGCACTAGTGTTGTCTCTCGTAATATTATGAGCAGATCATAAGGCAAAAATGTGCTCTGAATTCATTGAAATGATAGTTTCATTATCGCACATATTTTCTAAGTGGCTTATCCTTCTGGGTCGAGGGGGTGCTAGAGCCTCTCCCAGCGGTCATTGGGTGGAAGGCAGGAAGCACCCTGGACAGGTCACCAGTCCATCACAAGGCAGACACACAGACATATACAATCACACATTCATACCTAGGGGCAATATAGCATGTCCAATTGGCCTGGCTGCCTGTCTTCGGACTGTGGGGAGGAAACCCACGCAGACACGGGGAGAACATGCACACAGAAAGGACCCTGGTCGCCTGGATGGGAATCAAACCCTTCTTGCTGTTAGACGACAGTGCTACCCACTGCACCACCATGCCACTCCATTTCATTATCAATTATATCAATTATAAATTCTAATAATAAAATGCAATAAAAAAAAATCTTAAATGTAGTTAATATATCTAATATTTCTCATTTTCAAATTATTATAAGCCTTTAAAACTATTTTATAAAGTAAAATTATCTCACTGTATTGCCACATATTTTGCTTGTTTCAAGTATACTTTTCAAATGAAGCAAAATTATCTACCAATATAGTGAGATAATTATACTTGATAAAATTACTGAAAACAAGTAAAACGATGACTTAAAAACAATATTCTTATGAAAGTCTCAACATGAGAAATATGAGATACATCAACTAGATTTCAGAACATTTCACTTGCCAAGATACAATTTCTGCAGTGTGCCAGAAGAGCAGCATGTTAGGCTATTGGTCTAAGAGAGCAAGAGCCAGCCAAATGCATGTATATAGAAAACAGCAGGTTTTCTGGTTGCTGTAGCATCCCTGCATGCTTAAAAGCTCTACAGGTTTTCCAGTAAAATCACGGCTATTTTAGACTGTTCTGAACAATTTCACTACCATGGCTACCATGGGTTTAGTGCTAGGATTGGAGGGGTATCGCACCCTCTAACATGAGTTTTAGGAAGTCAATGGCCAAGTGCCACATAGTTGGAATCTATGTACACACACACCCCACAAACTCACAACACATGCACACACACACACATACACACACACCCACACACATACACACACACACACACACACACACTCTCTAGGCTCATTTCTGTATGGTAGTTAGAGCTCCTGCAGGGGGAATTACTGAGAGAGCCATCCAGTGATTTGATAGCCATGCTGCAGATTGAGAGGAGATGGTTTTGAGTTTTCAATCTGCTCTGGAGCTCACTGTGACTCAGCCCTGGCAGCTGCCACTGGAAATGGGTCCCTGCTGAAATGAGTATAAACCCCCGGCACCGTTCGGCCTATACATCATTTAATTAGTGCTATTTGTTTCTGGCCACAGGCACTGCTGGAGTAATGTATCCAGCCCGAGGTAGCCGTTTATTATGCAAAGGTCATACACTATTGGCAGAAGGAGCGGGACGAGGAACGGCACATATCAGGGCAATTACGCACCTGTCCTTTAGTACAAACAAGGGCCTGACGATCGATATGTATATCAAATACCCGCTCTGAGGAGGCGCTGAGATACTCTGAAGCCAGCGGAAACCCAATCAGCCTGTGGCAAGAGTTACACACATATATACACCACCTCCACCTCCACTAGTGCTGTAGAGTCTAGTGATTGTCGTGTGTATGTCTAGATTATACGCTGCATTGTAAGGACAATGATATCCGTTGATATCATTCTTTTTGCGTATAATACAACTCTTTCTAATAAAGCTTTCGACACACATAGTACTCTTTCTTTATTTTGAATAAGAGTGGAGAGAACAAAATAACTAGTTGTGTAAGTGGGATCTTATGGGCTCCAGTACAAAAAGAGTTCATGAGCGTCCAAAACAAAAATATATATATGATTAGCTTGTTTGCTCACTACTGTTATGTCTCAAATGACAAAAAATCCACTGAATGCTAACATTTTGTTTGAACCCTGCTCCAAAACACTGACAAAACCATGCTATAACCATGTAAAGGCACATGTTAGGTGCTGTATCAAGTTGTCTTGACCGATTATGTTCACTAACACAACAATGACATGTTACCATTACCGTTGTCATGGCAGATGTCACAATGTTTGATGTCAAACTAGAGCACAGAGCAAAATTTAGCATGTGACATAAGCTTTTATGACATCAATCATATACAATGAAAGTTACCGGTAATGGTGACATGACACTGTTACATTACTGAACAAAATGTGTTACAACAACTCATCACAGCATATCTGCCATGATATGTTTAAGTCATGATTGTGTCAATGTTATGTAGCAGGGTTCAAGTAAACTGTTACCCCATTGACATCTAATGTTCACCTAAATGTTTATGTTAGATTATCTATTTGGAATAATTATACATCATACTTAGCTGTCTGACATGCCACTGCCCAAATTAAGAGGTTACACACAGATTCCTGAGAATGCCTGCTGTATGACATACATATCCTAACATATTATTTGAATAGAATCATTTATGTCTTACAAAATATTAGAGGTATAAGAAATATATCATTCTGCAGATAGTTGTTAGCTTAATATAAGATTATTTACTTATTTCAAGACACGTTTTACTTGTTTTAAGACAAATTTTCTGACAGTATAGTAATTACTATATATATATATATATTACTTAAAGTGAAAGTGTCTAGAAATAAGCTAGAAAATCTTATAATTTCAATAGATTTCAGATCATTTTACTTTTTTTGCAGTGTATAGGTTAATATCGTTTTCCTCACCAGCTGGCGCATTGTGATGTCATTAAAACTGAGAAGATGATGTTTTAAAGGTTTTAAAGAAAGGTTTTAAAAATGATGATACAATGAAATAATAAAATGAATGAATCAATTTCAATACGATCGCAGACATTAACTAACAACATACAAAAAAAACAATTTTAACTTCAGATTGACTTTAAGAACATCTGAAGAGTTTTATTCTAAAATATTGTGTATCCATTTGTAACAGACTGAGATATAACAAAAAGAATATCAGCTGAAGTATAACGGAAAACACATTTTAATTTCTCTAATAAAGGTGGTATTAATTATAATATAGCACTGATATTTCTTGTATTCAAGAAAATTCTTGTATGTTTTCTATAATGCGTGTTTGAATGAAACCCTTCATTATTTTTCCTTCTTGTGTCTAAAGATGTTGTAGATATGAGGTTTTGTTATAACAGCGATAGTACATAATGCTTTCCTGTATCACTGCCTGCATGCAGTTCAGCATATGCAGTGCTGTGGTCTACAGTGGATCAGAGCGGAGGACGTCGCCAGCCTGCGCATGTGATTGAGTTAAGGCCACTGCGGCGCTGCAGATTAGAACGGGGCTCAGGCGTGATCTCATTTGCCTGACTCTGGCTCCTTGGCTGTCTGTATAATTGTGGTGAGCTCATGAGGAAAAAAACTGGAGGACCCCCAGCAGCCCAAGACAGAGGTGCCCCTAGCTCCAGCAGAGCTCTGACACTGCTGCTAATGAGGCTGCGAACTGCAGCGCTAATGGGCCTTCGCTATGCGACAGGAGGAGAGACGGAGAGCTGAACACCTTGTAATATCAGAGAGGCTTTATGTATTTACCACACTGGGAGAGAGAGAGGGGGCGAGAGACAAAGAGATCAAGAGAAAGAGAGAGAGAGAATGAGATAAGAGTGTGAAGGAACTACGTGTACTTATATAAGGACACTTGAGGACATGACACACAGTACTTAGTTTTATTTAGTGATATTTAGTCAGCATTAAACCTGTCAGCTTCATCACATATTCATTTTCATTAGATAGAACAGCTCACTATTGCCCTTTTTATTAATGTGTTATAACAGCTTATTAATGCTTTTTTAAAGTGTTCATGACCTGATCACCATTAACAAACTCATTTTAAATTCTTTATCCATAAATGCTTTATAATGGTGGTCTTATTCTAAAGTGGTACAGAGAAAACTAGCACATTCTAAGCAGAACTTTTTAAACTCAACATTAAGTTCTCCAAAGTTCTTTCTGGAGTGAGGAATCAAACCCGGTCAGCTGCATGGTGAGCAACAGTGTTAAACACTTGCTTTGCCAACAGCTACAAATGAAAATTAAATGAATGAAATGAGATAATGACATAAATTGCTGACGTCCCATCAACTTCTTGTTACTATGTAGTAGTACTACACACTGGTTGTTGTTGTTCACAGGTTCTCTAAAACTAGTTTCGATCTAGGTTTCCATTATTCAAGAAGTACTAATGATACTCAAAGCATATTGTGATGTAATTTGTCCTGATAACATATCGCCACATTGTCCACCCCAGAAGGAAGGCGAGATAAGGACACAGAGACAGAGATACAGAGGCATGAAAAATGAAAGGTGGGAGGTCAATGGTGTGAGTGTGACCGATGGGATGACTCACATTTCCACGATGCCCTCGGGCAGGTTGGCCGGGATTTCGGTCAGGCCTTTTTTCCTGCAGTCCACGATGTTGTTGTTGCAGGAGCAGCTGGCAGGACAGACGGACGCTTGAGGAGCGCAGGACCTTGGCTCTGACTGAGTGGGGCCTGGCGGGCCAGGAAACATGCGGAAAATCAGCAAAAGTTCAAGAAAGATCTAATTCAGTGATAAACACAGCAAGAAAAACAGGGGAAATGTGTAACATAGAGATAATAGAGTTCCATTACGGAACTGAACACATAACAAACAGCTGCATCAGAAAGCGAGTCATAAGAATGACAAGTCGACATGACATTTGCACAAATGAGTAACATATGTGCAGAAAGCTCATTCTTGCAGCCAATAAAGTAACATAATCGGAATGCACTGAGCTTCTGTCGTTTTATTGTTTTTCCTTGCAGCATAATTAAGAAATGACTTTTTTTCTTAGAGAGTTGTACAGTGTTGTTTAGTGATTTAGCGTATATTCCTCAGTTGATTAATTAGAAGGGGGAAGCAAAGGGGGCTTAATTAACAAGACTTGGACGTGAATATTTTCACCAATTAAACGATGAGGTCTATTAGAACGCTCACAACATTGCAAGGAAAGACATATTTGCTTACATTTATCCTGCTCTGATGCTAATGAAGGCACATTATGCATAGTTTAATGTACATTCCAGGATAGTGCAAGGCAAGCAATAATTTCAGAGAGTGTGAAGATTATTGACTGCTAAACAGCAGTTTTCGTTCACCCTCAATGATGTTGTGCGTGTGTGTGTGTGTGTGTGTGTGTGTGTGTGTGCTGCACCTGTACAGACGAACTCTCTCTTCTGCACATCAGGGACACTGAGCCCTCTCATGTGGGCAGGCGACATGCACTGAGTAAAGTGGGCCAACCCCCTCCTTTGCCGCAGCCAATCAGAGAGCCAGGACAGGTGGCAGTCGCAGTGCAGGTTGTTGGAGTGCAGACGACTGGAAAGAGAGAGATACAGATAGATAGAGAGAGAGAGAGAGAGAGAGAGTGAGAGAGAGAGAGAGAGAAGGAAGAGAGTGATAAATGGAGAGACAGGTAGATGGATAAAAAGATGGATGAGAGAGAGACAGAAAGATAAAGAGAGAGAGAGAACAGAGAGAGATAGGTAGATGAATAGACAGAAGGGACATGCAGACAGATAAAGAAATAGAGACGGAAAAAGAGATTGAGAAGGAGAGAGGGACAGATGAGAAAAGAGAGACAGACATCGGGAGTGATGAAGAGAGCGAGAGGGAGATGGATAGGTTAAAGAGAGAGAAGGAGAGGTAGAGATGCAGATGGATAAAAGAGATGGATAAGAGAGGGACAGAATGATGGAGAGAGAGATTGAAATGAAAGAGAGAGAATATAAATGAAAGAGAGAGAATATAAATGTAAGTCAGATAAAAACAGATAAAGATGTGAAACGCCTCAGAGGAGATTCTTATTTCTGGGGCCATCTATCTGGAGACCGAGGGATCAGTGAGCAGCGGGTAATGACTGAAATACAGTTCTCTAATGCTAACGCACACTGAGCCCTGCATTTTAATACACCAATTCACTCTCAGTTGGAATGTGTTCTCGTTGGTCTGTTAACATAATCGTGATGAAGCCAAAGAAAATATGACATAGCTTCACTAATCACAATGACAAATTGTTGTTCAGTCACTCTTCAGTCGAGAAATGTAAGGAATCTCTATGTCATTTATCACTATTACTGTGATTTGAAACTAATTTATTTCTCACTCGTGCCTACTGTCAAAAATGCAGATTCTAAACTTTCAGTTGGTACCATGTGTTTGTGTTTGTAAGAAGAAGAGGAGATATTTTAATATGATTTTAATTTGATCACATCAAAAAAATTGGAAAAAAGATAGAAGAGCAGATTCAAATCTTTCAACACTGAATGTAAATTAACAAAGGTCATATGTAACTAACTATGTAACTACTTAGGTCAGGGGTTGGCAACCTAAATGTTAAGAAGAGCCATTTTGTCCTTTCAACAAAAGCTCAAAAGCTCAGCTATAGCTGCTTTTCGCACATCTCCAGCAGGAAACATTTCCACAAAAGTAGAATAGTTTCTTGTAAAATGTCTCTCAACATGTGATTTTCATAAGGCTGAAGTCAGCTTTTCATTCGCCAGCTTCTCGTTCGAACTTTCCTGTTCCACCTTAAATGGTGCCTGAGGTGCCAGAATGTAACTGCTGCACCATTTAAGGTGGGACGTGAAAATTCAAACGAGAAGCTGGCAAACGACAAACTGACTTCAGACCATTTATTGTTAAAACTGTGTTAGAACGATCAGCAGAGCTTTATTCTACTGCAAAGGAGGATTATTTTACTTTTACCTAAAAATCGAATTCTGCTGTAGAGCAGCAACAGGGCAGTAAAAGAGTCGCATGTGGCTCCAGAGCCACATGTTGCCGACCCGTGACTAAGGTAATTACATAAATACAATGAATAGATAAGTATTGCAAATAGAATGCACAGCAAATCAACGATAATTCTAGACTCTAAGGGTTAAAATGAATTAACAGGATCAACGTAACTCAGTGATTTGTTTGTGACCATGGCAGAACACCCACGACTCCCTGGGTGAAAGTGCTCCCTTCTGCCAACACCTTCATTTTGTCAAGGTCTCCACCAATATGGCATCGCTCCCAATGCAGACACCCAGCTTAATATCTACCTCTCACGGATCATTACGCAGTGGGGAGGGGGACGAGAGGCATGGAAAGAGTGGCGTCAGCAAATCACAAAGGGCGGCTGTACCCTTTACAAAGGCCTGCAAGTGAAATAATAAGGTAGAATCCAGCTAGGGGGGCTACGAAATTGCTCATTGAGGATAACAGCGGGGACAAGGGTGCTCATGGAGCCTTTCCCATTATAAATCCAGTTTACTGCTTCCTTGTTGTTGCGGATTAATTATGGACGAGCGGGATTACGGAGATGGAGGGACGAGGACACCGGGGTCCCTAGTGGTCTGAGGTGGACGTGAGGTGAGGCGAGCGCAAAAAAAGCCCACAAAAGGGTAGCTCAGCACACCTAGCGTATCGACCGGTGTCCGTGGAAAATGACTCCTCGTCTAGCGGCGGGAGTCTCCTCGCTCTTTTTATTTGGCTGAGTTATTGAATGGCAAGCGCCATGGGGTGATATCATTTGATCTAATTGAATGGTTGCTGCACGAAGATAGCAGGTCTGGAGGAGGGGAGGAGAGGACAAAGGGATGGAGGGGTAGTGGAGGGAGGAAAAGGAGGAGGAGGTAAGCTGAACTATTTCATCAGAGACCTGGAGCCACCCCCCATCCCCGTCCTGCTAAAGGGATTACAGACATCTCTAAACATTTGATTTAATAAGTTGTTTTTTACGAGCGACAAATTCAATACCAGGATCTCAGGGATATTAGAGGGCCGAAAATTCAATACAAAGGAACCGGGGTAGTAGGGGCGGCCTCTGCTGTGGATAATTCAATACGGCTGAGGGAGAGGCGCGCCCTGCCAGCCCAGCGTCAGCAAATTCAATCCAGCGCGAGGGGGCAGGCCTGTCTGAAGGCCCTGACGGATGGGACCGTGGCCAGACTTCCTGACCGGGGAGCTGACCACTGATGGAGCCAGAGGCCTCTGGAGAATGAGAGAGGAGCTAGGGCTCCGGAGGGCTGTAGAAGGCTTCCAGCCTCTAGACAGCCACAGAGCGCCTCAGTCCAGGGGGTTTAGGGGCCCGGGGTATAAAGACAGCCCCCTGAATGTTAGAGCACATCTAGCGTTTACCGCTGACATCCCCACTTTATTTATGTCTTCTGGAGCCTGGTGCTCCACCACATGCTAATCGTAAGAAAAGCTAGCTTGATCCCCTGCTAAAACGCAGACGCAGCCACAGATGGGATCCATACAGGCCTGGTTTGGTCGCTTTGGAATTATTCGTATCGATTGTGGTTTGAGTCCAGTGGTGGAAAAGTGGTGTAGCGACACGGGCTCGTCCGAGTCGTCTCACCAAACTCATCTAACTCCTGCGCAAACAGATCCCTGAAGACTACATGATGCACGCTGAGCACCAAATCCCAGAGCTAGATGAAAGATTCAGTGCTTGACTGTCTGTGTGTATATTTACAGCACCAGTCAAAAGTTTGGGGACATCAAAAAACTTTGTTGGACTGTAATAACATGACATTATACATAGAAAGTTCAATTTTTTCTGAGAAAGAACAACTGAGAAAAGAACCCCCAATGAAAATCTCAACAGAAAGCGAGGTGTCCCCAAACTTTTGACAGCATATATGCATGTGTGGATTTCTCTATGAACCCCAACAGTAACTATTATGTCCTTCATGTATTTTAAGAAGCTTTTGGCAGAAATCTTTCAGAATAGACTCTGCCTTGCAGCTATAACAGAGTAATGACCCAGCATGTGGTGGTTACACCACAGCAGACATGCAGCTTCTGAGTGATGTCTTTTCCCCCCGCTAACCCAAAGAAAACCCTAATACTCACAGAGTGCGCAGCTTGGGCATGTGGTTGAAGCTGGACAGCGGGATGAGGGTGATGTTGTTGTTGTTGAGAGTGCTGGAAGGCAGAACACAGACAGAGAAGATCAGACAATTGTATTGATCCGATGCAGCTTCACACAAAGACTGAGTAGCGGGAGCACGTTTTAGTGGAAGAAGAAGTGTTGGAAACAAAGGCACAAATCAAGAGTTTTGCTAAAGGAAGTATCAAGGCAGATTTGTTGTATGTCTGTATTGACTACGGCTCAGTAGATTAGGAGGAGCTGGGAAAGATATGAAGATGTTATCTTTAAACTAAACAAAATCCTAAAATTAGATCAGCATAATTTGGACTAATCCTCCACTCCGCTGCCCTGCTAATGCATTATGTGTATGTGTGCGTGTGTGTGTGTGAGATTCTCAGCGCTGCTGTGCTGCATATAATGCATGATCGGTGTGTGTCCACAGCAGCGTGTAATCGGCTTTAAAGAATCATGGTCGGCGTGTGCAGCTGTAAGCATGGCCAGCAGGCTCTTCTGCTTCCTGCCAGAGCAGCAGCCCTCCTCATTAGCGTTAGTTAGCCACCTTAATCTTGTAATAAAGCCGTCCCACGCTTGCAAGGTCCAAACCCATCCTGTACCCTGTCCTTCCCTCTGAGGGCCTGGGACTTCTCAATTGAGACTATAATGATGGCTCCTATGTCTAGTTCTTCTAGGGAAAAATCATTTTTACTGGCCCTTTACATTAGGAGGAGATTATTTAAAACAAGTGTTCCCAACCTTTTTAACAGCATGGACCAAACAGCAGCCCACAGTAGTTTTCACAGACTGGAAGGGGGTGGTGAAGCAACTCAGGTGATCAGCCTATGGTTTGGCTTTGTTGAAGAATGATAATCTGGACAGCTTCATAGCCTCATTTGCTAGCTTCTCTCCACATACCACACACAATATTTTGGGCAACAGCACCCCCAATGGTGATTAACCATATTTTATATAGCTGTCATCACATTTTACATGGCAGATGTTCTTATCCAGAGTGACTCACAAGTTAAACCTGTTACAGCGCTAGGTGAATATAGCTTTAGGAGTCCTGTCCAAGGACTCATTGATATAGTATGGTGTGCTTTGCTATGCTTATGCATGGCCCTTTTCTTCATAACAAGCATAAAAATCGCTAACTAGTATGTTGACGTCTCGGTAGCTACCTAGCTAAATTTCCCGTTCCACATTAAATGGTACAGCTGTTCTGATGCCTGAGGCGACAGCATGTAACTGCTGCTCCATTTAAGGTGGAATGGGAAAATCTGAATAAGAAGCTGGCGAATAGCTGACTGCAGCTTCACATCACCAAAGAATTAGGGGTGAGCGATAATAAAATAATTTGAAAAAATATTAGTAAAATTAATTAAAATGAATTAGTAAAAATAAGAAATGGGATTGGGCCTAGGTATCATTTTCATTTGTCTTCCATTTTTTTTTTGTTAATGTTGTCTGTTTTTACTTCTTCACTTATGCTAGCCACTAACTGAAAGCAGGCAACATCAACCTACATATATGCACAAGGCCATACAGAGACATGATTTAAGCTGATATGTTTAAAATGGCATACAATTAGTTTATTAACATTTTAGTGGCAAGAGTTAAGCCTATGAATGTTCTTATATGACACTGTATATGTACTATCCAAAATAATTCTTTAATAATGTGAGTTACACCGGTATTAAAATAGTCTAGATCAGCTATCAAGCTACTAACTCACTAACTCTGCTCACTGCCAATTCTTCAAGAAATCATCCCCTGAAAAGCTCTTTAGAGAACCAAAACTGGTTCTTCTCTTTCCCAAAAAAACTCTTTTTGGCACCTTAATTATTTAGAGTCTAATTCCTGTATGGTCAAGCTGGTGAAGCTGCTCAGCTTACAGCCAAAAATTGGGGTCGGACCATGCTGCTCAATAAAGGGTTTTGAGGGGCACACAGTGCTGGGAAAGCTCCTCAGTAAAAGACTCTAGTTTTACAGTTCGGGCCTGCTTGGGGAAGCATTGCGGCGCGAGACGTGACGCCAACTCAGTGCGCTAGTGAGCCCACCAAGCCCAGTACTTCACTTTTCACTCACAAGCAGCTAATTCAATCTAAACCTCCTCATAAACAAGGGAGGAAGATGGATATGACCACAGGATAATACGTTTCAGTATTTCTGCGAGCCGACTCATAACTCCAGCTGTGGAAAATCCCCATCCTCAGCAACAGCCACGCTTAAAGACCCAACAGACAAAAAGAACTGCACAAATACGAGAAAAAGAGAATCCCTCCAAAACATCAAATTCTTGCGGAGCGTTTAATGACAATCTTAATATTTGTTTTGGCGTGGATCTGTGGGGGAACACTTTATTAAGACAGAGGGAAAGAAAGAGAGAGAGAAAAAAACATCTCAATGGCATGGAAAATTATTGTTATTCCACAAAAATATTACACACAGGGAGGAGGAATCACCCTTGCAAGAGGCTGAGCGAAAACTCTCTTGTCCCAAAAAGGAGAACATGATCTGCTCCTCAAGGCCGCTGCCATTTCCTTGCAGAGTTTCGGAGGCAAGAACCTAAGGAGGAACGCCCTGGTAAAAGCCTGTAATACCAGACCATCTGCGGGGTGAAAAGAAGTTGCCTCTGCGCATGAAGGACCGGCACTTATCTACCATCCTCTGAGCTCCTTCGGGACAGTGTTATTTATTTTTTGAGCAGTGATAGACTGAGGTGAGCAAGCAAAAGCACAAAAGAAGTTTCCCCAGTAACTTTAGCTATTACACAGAAAAAGTACAGAGGAATGGATATATGCAGTTGGAGAGTAATGCGAGAAAAAAACAAAAAAAAAAAAACAAGACAGCCCCCCTTACCCCCTCACCCCACCCGCCCCAAAGTGCACCTAACGGGTTGTGCTAATAGAGGGAATGCTCTCTAACTCATCTATATTTCAACCGTCCAGTTTCCAGCTATAAAAAACCTGGTTAAAAATAATCGTATATGGATTTTCATCCTCCAAGGCGTAGTTTGGGAAATCTTGACCACATGTCCAAGCAGTAATGAGAGTAAGTCTAGGCAGGTATTACAGAATCTGTCAGAGTGGACAATGGCTTTACACAATGTCTATCACAAAAATCTTATTTCATGAATCTCTAAATGGCTCCGCTGACTAAAAATGCAATGCTAATGGCATATACATGCTTCAGTTCTGGGCAAATGAGCACAATACACATGTGCTTATCTCTTATCTATATTTGGGATGTGTAATATACAGCACTGTGGAAAAATCCAAGGCCACCCTTTATTCATTTGCTTTCTAGTAAAGGTGGCCATTAAGTACAAATGAGTTATTTTCAGGAGATATTTCTGAGGAGATTAGCTATAAAGTAATCCACATGCATAAGGAAGGGGAAAGTCAAAGGAAAATAAGTGACAATTTTCCAAAACTGGAATTCAAAATCATATTAAAAGCTATAGAGACAATGAGACTTCAAGCGTGCAATACCCAGTAGACCACTAAAACTGTCACCATCATCTTTGAGAGAGAGGAGAAAATCAAGCTCTACTCTCGCCTCAGATCTGAAAAAATCCACAGGTGTTTCTGTCCATCCTTCCACTGTGAGAAGACAACTCAATGCTATGAGTCTGAAAGAATGTGTAGCTGTTAAGAAGCTCTTACTGAGAAAAGGACATAGACAAAAGGAATTTGCAAATCAACAAAGAAGCTGGGGTTCTCAGAACAATAGACTGACCATCTCAGAGTCCAGACCTCAACATCACTGAATATGTTTGGGATTATGTGGACTGTGAGAAGCAGAAAATGCAACCAACTTCTAAGACTGAACATTGGAAGTGTGGAAAAATATCCACCCAGGTGGGTGCAAACCCACCCAAAATAATGAAAATGTTGTAGTAAATGCAAAGCATGAACATACTAAATAGTGAAAAACATTAAATTCTATTTAGTTGTTTAGGTTTCTGTGTAATTTTCTGTTAACTAAATGCTTTCATTTTTTTTCTTTTACTGAAAAAGTAATGACTTAATGATTATTAATAACACTAATACATAATTGCCGCTTTGACTGGATATTAAATAAATGAAGAGTGGTCTCTGCCACTCTGTGAAATACTGTGGGTGACAGAGTCTCTCCTAAGTGTCTCCCAGAGGCCGATTATGAATCAAAATTTTGAAGGGGAAAGCCGACCGCTGCAGGGAAGAACTGATGGATCCTCCGTGTCACCTGAGAATGTGCATTCAAGCTTAAACCGAATCAAATCGATACTGGCTCCTCACTAATAACACGCTGCCGAAGCTTAACAATGTAACTTTATGATTTTATTTAAGGCTTTATTGACGCAGCGGTCAATGGGATTGAGTAGCTATTAGCCACTCATTCACCTAGCCTCGCCTGGACGCTGGGACCGTCTAGATGGGACACCTTCTTTCTTTTTCTGTTCCTTCTTTTCCTTTCTCGGCTATGTCAAGAAAGCTTTCCCACAGTCGCAGAAAGGCTGGGGCTGGGGTCTGGAGGGCCCTCAGCATTTCTCATTAGAGGAGGTTTGGAAAGGGTCCGGGACACTTCCCTTTTGAAGGAGGGTGAAATAAGAGAGGGGGTGGAAGCAGGGGCTACTGGGGGGACAGGGAGAGAGAGAGAGAGAGGGAGAGAAAGAAAGAGAGAGAGAGAGAGCACCAGAGCCCTCTGCAGCCATCCCTTCACTGCTGACACACACACACATGCACACAGCTGAGACAAGCCACAGAGACACGCAATGCGACATGATAGTGCACTGGTCCTCCTTTGTGCGTGTGCTTGTGGCTGGGTGAGGGCGGACCACCACTGTTCTGTGTTCACATGTATACCCTGTTGACTTCCCTCAAAGGAAGAAGGTCAAGAGTCACTTGTTTTGTCCAAAGGTGAAGTTTCCCACGGGTCTCGGACTGGCCCACTTTCTCTCATACAATACAGACCGGCCATAAAAGGTGAAGGGTGCATGTTTAACCCTTATGTAGCATTTACATATTGCCACTGAAAACCATAATTTCATGCCTCATAGCAGGATTGGTGA